AAGAACTTCAGCAATCAGATGGCTCAGTCAATTGTTTTTTTTTTTTTTTTTAATTGACCTTAAATATTTAATAACACGTACGTAGCAACTATAAAAAATCTATTTACATTGCTTTCTTCATTACGTATACTTTTACAGGTAAAACGTTCAATTAAGGAGGAACAAATACTATGGCCTGTTGCAATTATTTATTTAAAAATTGCAAACGATCCCTACTATGGTATCTAAAAAATCTAAATATGTCTTTTCAAGCATAACAAGTGATGGTGAGCTCAAAATATAATTGTTCTTGTATATAGATATCCGAAAAATTTGTCTCATCGTCGTCAGCTGAAAATATGACACAGTAAAAACTCTTAAAATACATATTTTCGCGAAGACGACCTACATTAACAGTAATGTGTTTTAAGCTTTTTTTTATAGATACATATAAAGAAAAATATTTTCACATGTATATAATTATTATATTTTTCGTTATTCAAAGTAAATTGGATGGAAAAATTTTTATTTATTGTTTAATTACGTATATAAGTTCCACGTGTGTATACAAACGTATTCAGTTCAAAAAATAATCTTTCTTATGATATATAACAAAAATAAATATTTTTTGGAATGAATTTACCTAATAGAATAAAATGCAGCGATCACCAAAAATAAACCAGAAAGACATATGACAACCTCTTTCAAAATGCAGTAATAAAAAAACAAAACAAAAGTGCGTGACAAAAACAGTCGAATAACAAAAGACTGTTGTTTGTATGGAAGACGCGGGGCCTGTCAAACAAGAAATTTGACTATTTTTTGAACGGTTACACATCAAGAGCAACGCTCAAGCCAACTATCAGTTTAATTTAAATACGCATCGTCGCCTGCCGTGATTAAATTAAACTTTCCTAGTGTCAGATGACCGAACATCAGTAACAAACATTAAAAATATTTACGTATATATACTTACAGTTAATCGTATAATAATTTACAAGAACTCTTTTTGTTTAATACTGGAATGGGTCAGTGTTTTTCACGAGGGGTAGTATACTTGAAAATTCGACGGCCGATCCCAAAGGGGTATCAACCGCACATTTCTAAATGAGGTATATATTACGTATACGAGGTTCGTCGAAATAGTAAACCGATTATATGTATGTATGTATATCATTTTCGATAGATACCAATGTCTCTTTTATTATTACGTTAGCTTATGACCTTTCCGAGTCGGAATTCGCAAAGGTCAACGTGTCTACGTCCCGGTGGCCGTTTTGGGTGACGTCGTTGTTTTGAGTGGTGCCGGAATCTATTACCAGACTACCCTCATCCCCGTCGCTGCTATACGAATCACCCTCGTCATCGGAACTGGACAGAATACCTGTGCCACAAGAAATCGTGTCAATTTTCCCCCCCTGCGATTTCCGCGGTCAAAAAGCAAACTCACCACTGTCTAATTGGGGTTGCATCCCGGAGAAGTCTTGAGGCCAAAATCGACGGTTATTGTTTTGGACCTTTTTCTTTTTATGAACGGGTGACGTCCCTATGTTACCATTATCGCTAGGGGCACTTGCGTCCAACATGGGCTGCAATATGCGTCTCCTAGCGTTAATGAACCAATTATTCACTTGGAGCAGGGTTAAATTCGTTTGAGCAGCTATATGCCTCTTCTCATCTTCCGTTGGATAGGGATGCTAACGGAAAAGAAATCAAAAAAGTCTCCGGACACCCTAATTCATGGTACGTAAAGTATCCCAAACCCTCACGGGACTCACCACGAGATGCTGAAACAGCCACGACCTCATAACGCTAGTCGCCTGTTTCGGTAGAACGCCCCTCTTCGGTTTCCTCCCGATTCGCGAGGTAAAATCGCTGTCACACTCCTCGGAGCCGCCGGGGGTTGTTGGAGCGGGCGAAACCTGTCCCGAGCTATCACTAGGAGGCGGTGGAGGACACACGTTCGCCCCTATCTGCGACAACGGGGTAGACCCGTGAACCACTAGGGGATCGCTGCAGGTGGAAGGAGTGTGCTGCTGCTGCTGCTGCTGTTGAAGGGGAGGTGTAGGGGTCGAAGAATAGTGCAGGCCACCTCCGAAACCGTTGTGCCCCTCTACTGGACGGTCCATGGGAGTTGGAGTACCGCCTGGGGCCGACACAACCTGTTTGACGTACACAAGCGACCCGGGCAAATTATCGAAAAGAAAAAAACCGGACGAAAAAAGAAAACCTTTCAAAATCAACACAAGCGCAACCCAATACCAAAACAAAGAAGAAATGAAACAAAAGACAAAAGAAAAGAGAACAATCGGAACAAAAGCGAGTCATCAGTAGAAACAAAGGAAGAAAACGGGTTAACTGAAAATCACTTTTCAAACAATTTAGACTCAATAAAACCGTCGATTATTTAGCCAATACTCACTTGACTATTGTTCACACTGTTGTACTGAACGGGACTGTTCGAATTTGAACCACTGTCGGAGTTCCCGTGGGACAGCATGCTGTTGTTGTTAGTTTCCAAGTTTCCATTCATCACAGTGGGACCTTGGGGATAGTCGGAGCGAAGGAGGTTTTCCGACTGCATCTTACCTTTTAAACATGTAATGTATCGATTGCAAAAGTCTTTGCATAATTCCTGGACCTTTTCCAGTTCCAGAAGGTGAATTCGTAACACCTGAATCGCCTTGATCATCTAGAAAGCATGATCGACTTCGTAATGGCCAAAAGTGAACCGGAACGTCGAAATTTTAGCTGGATTAAGCGTAGAAAATTACACAAACGCAAAAGTGCCTTCCAACAATTATACGATTAATTTACATATTTATTAAGCTCGTCGAAATGTATTAAGGTCGGAAATGGCCCTTAAGTTAAAATAACCGGGTAATTCCAGCAATTACCGCTCCTCTAAAGTGCCAAGTAGGTTGAGAAAAAAATGGCACAACTTATTGGTTCCACGTTTCAATTAATTAAATTAGAACCGTAAGCAAAATTTGTAATTGTGTTACTCAAGTCTGGGTTAGGAAATAACATGGAGATTGGACACTCACTGGAGACAAAATCTACGTAATGAAACAAAAGAGGCAGTAGTTGAATAAAACAACTTAAAAAAACAAAATATTATTGCGAAAGTAAAACAAAAACAAGATAAATGAAGAAAAAAATGTTTTTGTTAAAGGGTACAACAAAACAAACAATAGAAAAACGTGGACAAGTTGATGTAATGAATTTATCGACTTGATCCAGCTAAAGTTCGACTTTGGACTGTTATTAGGACTAAAGCGTAAATTAAGGGACTTACTAAACCGTCTATTTCGGGTTCATTTGCTAAAAACGGTTTCCTATCCCGTTCCTGATGCTGAACAAACGCCTGAATGTCTAAATTAAATGCATCGCTAGACTGAGAATCGGCCGACTGGGTCGCTAATTCGCATCTTTCGAACAAAAGGGCTAACAAGGGAAATAAGGGATGCCTACAATTAAAAAAAAAATACTCATGTTTACTTCATAATAAATGTATACGATCGGATCCGTTAATGAAAAAATAAAAATTATGAAACACGATAACGTAATAAAATGAGATAGATGGAATTTATGAATTTTCAATTTAATTTTTTATGGTTTCGAAAACAACAATGACTTGAACGAATTTTCCACACAGTTTTTCCAGTAATTATGCTTATCGGATTTCGTCTAAAGCTAGTTCGGCTAAATCCCTTACACATTGTAATAAATCGTTTAAAAAGATGATCCCGCGTTTACAATTTTCGTTCCTGTGACTACTAACGATAAGTATTTGTTATAAAACGTGACCAAAGTTTTATGGTGTACTAACAGCATTTAGTTAGTAAGCATGTTAGCTACCACAAGGGGATTATCCTTATCTCGGGCCTAATAAAGTTTTACACCCGATAAAGCATTATGTATACAGCTTCCTGTAAATATTACAGCGGCAATAATTGAAAGTTAATGAATTTTATTAGTTGGTAAAATATAAACCTCTTCAATTATTATTTATTTTTATATGTATCTATACATTTACGTATATTACTTGTAAACTGCTCTCTTGTCAGCTTCAAATTGGGCCTGATCAGTGTCAGGGGGTGCAAACAGTGACGTCGACGGTAGGGTTGGTTGGGGGCCATTATCACCCCCTGGTGGCACGCTTAGCATTCCGCCTTGCACACCACACTCCATGTCATTTTACCTGAAATACAAACATTTGCAAAGGCAAAAGGAAAACAAAACACAATGCAGCATTGCTATCGATTAACGAGAAACAAAATGCAATTTTCTCAATTGTTTATACACATACTGCTGTTAAATATAAGAGTCTGTGGGAAAATCTTTATATAAAAAAATATAAATTAAACTGTCCACATGATAAAAATTACGTAGGTGTTTATGAAAATGCCATTCGTTAGATAATTAATATAACATAATCCAGAACTAGGAGTAAATATTTGTCGAGGAATTATTCAACCTGTGGATACGTGGTGATATGGTAATTAGGCGAGCAAATGCAGATTGCAATTTAAATTGTTTACTTGCGTGACACCTACTACAGTAAAATGCTTAGAAGCTTGGATATATCCAAGCATGCAAATGAATTAAATGTTGAAATAAATTAACACTTTCAATTTAAACGGAAATAAGAATTGCACTTTCGAAAAAATCCAATCACTTTTAAAATTTTTGTTCACATTTCTGATCGTAAATCAAAAAGGATGTATTTTAGAAATAAATAAAAAATTGATTAGGAATACGCATGCTGAGCCCTTTAATATGATACCTTACTCGATCCTGGTATCTCATCTTTAAATTTCGACCGCCATTTTGGATTTAAACAGAATGTTTAATGTTCATTCGGAATACCATTTAAGTATTAAGAATTACACTTTCAAAAATCCAACGATTTTAAAATTTTTGTTCACATTTCTGATCGTAAATCAGAAAGGATCGAATTTAGAATTAAAAAAAAAATTGGTTACGAATGCGCACGCTNATTATATATAATAAATTAACTAATTTTTTGTATAGTTCGTATAGTTTTTACCAACCTGTTTGCCCTTTGCCCAGAGTTTTTTCCAGTCTGTAGGGCCCGACGTATTGCTGGTTTTCCGTATTATTTCCCGAAGAATTTTCTTTTTGCATTTTCGAAGCGCTTTTTTTCTTTGTCACAACAAATCGGCGTGAAAAGCTTTTTTATAGAAATTAATACCCCTGTTTCCGTGCACCACCAGATATGCCATTTTTCTTTTATCTATCGAAATTTTGGTACGCTTTGTTTTTATAAGGGATGGATTTGCCGGAAGGGTAGTCGGAAAATTCCCCCCTCTGAGCACACGCCACTTTTATTAGTGTCACCCAACACTTGCAAGGTCCCCGAACATTTTTTATTTCGGAAAATCTAAAAATACAACCTGATTAAAATATTCTAAAGTTTTTAACTACTTACTGACAACATAATAATATAACGAATTTAATACGTAAACATAAACTATCTAGGAACAATATAGAATATTCAACACATGAATTTTGATGTTTTTTCAAATTTTTAAAACAAAAACAAAGGCCAAAAAATGATTACATAATAAATTAATTGATTGACTGATATTTCGATTTTTCTATCAATAATTTTCGACTGTTCGGCAATAAAAATTTTTTAAATGTGACAGACATGCATGAAAACTTTTGAAATATTGAAACTCAACTCTCACCCTTGCAGTGACTGTCTTTTTTTTTTTCAAGCCTAATCACTGTATTGGTGCAGATAATAAAATTCGAATTAAAAAAATAATAGTACAGAAAAGTAAATAATTTTTTACACAATTTGAACAGGCCGTACATCGAAACAATTTCTTACTTTCGCAGGGGGGTGGTGTGTTGTTAAACGTTGAGCACAATTTCACTGAAACCAATTCGTAAAACAATTCACAACGGTTTTAAACGTTGCCGTTTTTAAGCCGAAATTCCCGATTTTCTGACATTTCGTGAAGGACCTGCTTTTTCTCATATTTCTCGTGCTTTGGACAAGGGTGGGAATAATCAATAGTGGTTGCAACCATCCTTTGACTAAATATCCCTAGAACGCGCTAGTTCACCCTAATATACGACAAGACAAAATGCACCCTCGCCATTCTTTATTAACTCTATTCGAATGCTAAATACACCTAACATCAAAACATCATAAAAAAAATTCACAGGGTGTTATTATGTTTAGCGCCTGTTTAAGCAATTAAAAAAAATATTTAACGAAACTGTGACGCTATTTAAGTTCTTTTTTCTTATAAATATATTGTGCATTTCCTACATCCCCGGACGCACTACCCTTAATCCCCAATTTCCTTTGAACGTGGTAGAAATATTAGCGTCGGATTAGAAAGGTGCTAAGTAGTACACAAGAATTTTCATATTGGCATAAAGTACATACGTATATACTTATATATATATATAGCGGGTGATTTCGCCCTTTTGATCCATCCATCCACCCCTTTTGGCGACTGTCACGGCGATGTTTAAACAGAGGGTTTCAAACATTTGCGGTTTTCTAACAAGTGAAGAAAAGTTTCTTCGTCGTAATTTTTCTTTTTAAATAAAAAATACTTTATAATTAATTTTTGGATATACAGGGTGTTACGTAACTTACTTATTTTTAAATGGGATCCCTTGAAAATTTTTTATTTTGCCCTTTTTTGACCGCTTAACCTATATAAGAACCAATTAATTACTGTAAGAAAATCGTAATATAAGGTGCTTTTACATTAAGTCAATGAATGCTCATTTGTTTATGGGTATTAGTTCTTTTGTTCGNATTCAGTTCCCATATTATTTGTTTTAGCCTGTATTAAGTAATAAATAACAGAAATATAGTAACTAACGAAATCAATTTTTTCAAATAAAAGTTAAAAACTCTGCATTTTATTGTTGCGACTTGTAGCAAACAAACAGAAAGTCAGACAACATAGCAAGTTGAATAAATAAAATTTACCCCCCCACTCCATTTGTTGTTGCGTGTTTTTGTTTTTTTGAAAAACAAAAACCTACTAGCTATAAAATTAACAAAACATCATCGACAGGACGTCAGGTTAATATTAATTTGTACAGGGTCTGTACAGAAAATAATAAGATAATGCAAGGAAATAATTTATTTGAAGGGTGATTGTTGGGAATAACAAAATAAATAATATTGATTTTAATTTATTTTTATTATCGTTACAATTAAAATACACATTGTAGGCTATTAACAGAGATGTGATGATGATAATAAAGTGTATTCACTAATTCTACCGAAAAATGCTACGGCTTTGCAAAAGAACCACTGATAAAAAAAGCACTTCTAGCAAATCGCATTCTTGTGTAGAATTAGCAAAAAATCCATTTGTTTCGTCAAATCATTTCGAACGTATCTAATAATAATAGTTAAGAATCTTAAAAATTATCTTGAGTATTTTGGCGTATACATAGTCACAAGAAGCGATTTTTGAACGTCCTATTTCAAAAAATCGTTGTATCGTTGATCCAACAACAATAATAAAAAATAAATATTAATATGGTAAACAGGGAAAAACAAAAGCACCTCACAAACGGTTATTTTCTTTTTTTTTCTTTTCGTAAAGACATTAGTAGAATAGCTATGCGGTTTTGGGACAAAAACAATAGAAAAAAAGTGGTTAATTTTTAATTATTGCTAGATGTTGTAAAGATCAACGATCTCATTTTTTATTATATATAAAAGTATTTACGCAGGCTTCTTAAAATGACCATAGCAATCATTTTTATCACAGACTGATATAGCAACTTAAAGGTAAAACTCCAAAAATATCTGAACAGCTGAAGTTATCAAGTGACCGAAAGCAATTTTTCATAAAATTCAATACAAAAAAGATACGGTACTGACTTATTTGGCTAGCCAAACTAATCCATAGAATTTTTATTAGTAAATGAACGTCTATTATTATTTTGAAGGTCAGAGGGTGTCGACCCCTGCAGGATATTGAAGTAAGATTTTTAGATACAAATGAAGTAGGCATTGGAGGATGGGGACGACCTTGAAGAACACCAAACAAGTGTTTAAATGTTGGGGAGGAGATGGGGAGGTACAGGTGGAAGAGGATGATATTATAGAAAAGGAGGAAGAAAGAGACGTGGAGGCTCAGGGGCTGGAGTTGGAAATTGGAAATGGTAAATGTTTAGGTGAGGGGGGCTGTATATCAGAAGGATTGATGTAGGAGGTAGGGAATGACGTAAAATATTAAATAAGTGTTTGAAGTAGAGGGAAGAGATACAGAGGCCAGTGAGTGAAGTTGAGAGAATGGGATAGGTTTTGGGTGACGACGCAGGGGGTGGAAATGAAAATTGGAAAAAGGTAATTGTGCAGATGAGGGGCTCTGAAACTTAAAGAATTCAAGCATCAATTTTATATTTTATGAAAATATAAAAATATGGATGAGATATCCTTAAGGGGGATGAATTTAATGCGTCTGTTAGTCAATGGCGTTTGGTTTGTCTCTATTTCAATAAAGAAAATATAAGAAAAAAAATAATAAATAGAAGATTTTTTTGTTTAATGGCTAAAAAGCTGACTATTTTCTAGAATGCAAGAACTTCAGCAATCAGATGGCTCAGTCAATTGTTTTTTTTTTTTTTTTTAATTGACCTTAAATATTTAATAACACGTACGTAGCAACTATAAAAAATCTATTTACATTGCTTTCTTCATTACGTATACTTTTACAGGTAAAACGTTCAATTAAGGAGGAACAAATACTATGGCCTGTTGCAATTATTTATTTAAAAATTGCAAACGATCCCTACTATGGTATCTAAAAAATCTAAATATGTCTTTTCAAGCATAACAAGTGATGGTGAGCTCAAAATATAATTGTTCTTGTATATAGATATCCGAAAAATTTGTCTCATCGTCGTCAGCTGAAAATATGACACAGTAAAAACTCTTAAAATACATATTTTCGCGAAGACGACCTACATTAACAGTAATGTGTTTTAAGCTTTTTTTTATAGATACATATAAAGAAAAATATTTTCACATGTATATAATTATTATATTTTTCGTTATTCAAAGTAAATTGGATGGAAAAATTTTTATTTATTGTTTAATTACGTATATAAGTTCCACGTGTGTATACAAACGTATTCAGTTCAAAAAATAATCTTTCTTATGATATATAACAAAAATAAATATTTTTTGGAATGAATTTACCTAATAGAATAAAATGCAGCGATCACCAAAAATAAACCAGAAAGACATATGACAACCTCTTTCAAAATGCAGTAATAAAAAAACAAAACAAAAGTGCGTGACAAAAACAGTCGAATAACAAAAGACTGTTGTTTGTATGGAAGACGCGGGGCCTGTCAAACAAGAAATTTGACTATTTTTTGAACGGTTACACATCAAGAGCAACGCTCAAGCCAACTATCAGTTTAATTTAAATACGCATCGTCGCCTGCCGTGATTAAATTAAACTTTCCTAGTGTCAGATGACCGAACATCAGTAACAAACATTAAAAATATTTACGTATATATACTTACAGTTAATCGTATAATAATTTACAAGAACTCTTTTTGTTTAATACTGGAATGGGTCAGTGTTTTTCACGAGGGGTAGTATACTTGAAAATTCGACGGCCGATCCCAAAGGGGTATCAACCGCACATTTCTAAATGAGGTATATATTACGTATACGAGGTTCGTCGAAATAGTAAACCGATTATATGTATGTATGTATATCATTTTCGATAGATACCAATGTCTCTTTTATTATTACGTTAGCTTATGACCTTTCCGAGTCGGAATTCGCAAAGGTCAACGTGTCTACGTCCCGGTGGCCGTTTTGGGTGACGTCGTTGTTTTGAGTGGTGCCGGAATCTATTACCAGACTACCCTCATCCCCGTCGCTGCTATACGAATCACCCTCGTCATCGGAACTGGACAGAATACCTGTGCCACAAGAAATCGTGTCAATTTTCCCCCCCTGCGATTTCCGCGGTCAAAAAGCAAACTCACCACTGTCTAATTGGGGTTGCATCCCGGAGAAGTCTTGAGGCCAAAATCGACGGTTATTGTTTTGGACCTTTTTCTTTTTATGAACGGGTGACGTCCCTATGTTACCATTATCGCTAGGGGCACTTGCGTCCAACATGGGCTGCAATATGCGTCTCCTAGCGTTAATGAACCAATTATTCACTTGGAGCAGGGTTAAATTCGTTTGAGCAGCTATATGCCTCTTCTCATCTTCCGTTGGATAGGGATGCTAACGGAAAAGAAATCAAAAAAGTCTCCGGACACCCTAATTCATGGTACGTAAAGTATCCCAAACCCTCACGGGACTCACCACGAGATGCTGAAACAGCCACGACCTCATAACGCTAGTCGCCTGTTTCGGTAGAACGCCCCTCTTCGGTTTCCTCCCGATTCGCGAGGTAAAATCGCTGTCACACTCCTCGGAGCCGCCGGGGGTTGTTGGAGCGGGCGAAACCTGTCCCGAGCTATCACTAGGAGGCGGTGGAGGACACACGTTCGCCCCTATCTGCGACAACGGGGTAGACCCGTGAACCACTAGGGGATCGCTGCAGGTGGAAGGAGTGTGCTGCTGCTGCTGCTGCTGTTGAAGGGGAGGTGTAGGGGTCGAAGAATAGTGCAGGCCACCTCCGAAACCGTTGTGCCCCTCTACTGGACGGTCCATGGGAGTTGGAGTACCGCCTGGGGCCGACACAACCTGTTTGACGTACACAAGCGACCCGGGCAAATTATCGAAAAGAAAAAAACCGGACGAAAAAAGAAAACCTTTCAAAATCAACACAAGCGCAACCCAATACCAAAACAAAGAAGAAATGAAACAAAAGACAAAAGAAAAGAGAACAATCGGAACAAAAGCGAGTCATCAGTAGAAACAAAGGAAGAAAACGGGTTAACTGAAAATCACTTTTCAAACAATTTAGACTCAATAAAACCGTCGATTATTTAGCCAATACTCACTTGACTATTGTTCACACTGTTGTACTGAACGGGACTGTTCGAATTTGAACCACTGTCGGAGTTCCCGTGGGACAGCATGCTGTTGTTGTTAGTTTCCAAGTTTCCATTCATCACAGTGGGACCTTGGGGATAGTCGGAGCGAAGGAGGTTTTCCGACTGCATCTTACCTTTTAAACATGTAATGTATCGATTGCAAAAGTCTTTGCATAATTCCTGGACCTTTTCCAGTTCCAGAAGGTGAATTCGTAACACCTGAATCGCCTTGATCATCTAGAAAGCATGATCGACTTCGTAATGGCCAAAAGTGAACCGGAACGTCGAAATTTTAGCTGGATTAAGCGTAGAAAATTACACAAACGCAAAAGTGCCTTCCAACAATTATACGATTAATTTACATATTTATTAAGCTCGTCGAAATGTATTAAGGTCGGAAATGGCCCTTAAGTTAAAATAACCGGGTAATTCCAGCAATTACCGCTCCTCTAAAGTGCCAAGTAGGTTGAGAAAAAAATGGCACAACTTATTGGTTCCACGTTTCAATTAATTAAATTAGAACCGTAAGCAAAATTTGTAATTGTGTTACTCAAGTCTGGGTTAGGAAATAACATGGAGATTGGACACTCACTGGAGACAAAATCTACGTAATGAAACAAAAGAGGCAGTAGTTGAATAAAACAACTTAAAAAAACAAAATATTATTGCGAAAGTAAAACAAAAACAAGATAAATGAAGAAAAAAATGTTTTTGTTAAAGGGTACAACAAAACAAACAATAGAAAAACGTGGACAAGTTGATGTAATGAATTTATCGACTTGATCCAGCTAAAGTTCGACTTTGGACTGTTATTAGGACTAAAGCGTAAATTAAGGGACTTACTAAACCGTCTATTTCGGGTTCATTTGCTAAAAACGGTTTCCTATCCCGTTCCTGATGCTGAACAAACGCCTGAATGTCTAAATTAAATGCATCGCTAGACTGAGAATCGGCCGACTGGGTCGCTAATTCGCATCTTTCGAACAAAAGGGCTAACAAGGGAAATAAGGGATGCCTACAATTAAAAAAAAAATACTCATGTTTACTTCATAATAAATGTATACGATCGGATCCGTTAATGAAAAAATAAAAATTATGAAACACGATAACGTAATAAAATGAGATAGATGGAATTTATGAATTTTCAATTTAATTTTTTATGGTTTCGAAAACAACAATGACTTGAACGAATTTTCCACACAGTTTTTCCAGTAATTATGCTTATCGGATTTCGTCTAAAGCTAGTTCGGCTAAATCCCTTACACATTGTAATAAATCGTTTAAAAAGATGATCCCGCGTTTACAATTTTCGTTCCTGTGACTACTAACGATAAGTATTTGTTATAAAACGTGACCAAAGTTTTATGGTGTACTAACAGCATTTAGTTAGTAAGCATGTTAGCTACCACAAGGGGATTATCCTTATCTCGGGCCTAATAAAGTTTTACACCCGATAAAGCATTATGTATACAGCTTCCTGTAAATATTACAGCGGCAATAATTGAAAGTTAATGAATTTTATTAGTTGGTAAAATATAAACCTCTTCAATTATTATTTATTTTTATATGTATCTATACATTTACGTATATTACTTGTAAACTGCTCTCTTGTCAGCTTCAAATTGGGCCTGATCAGTGTCAGGGGGTGCAAACAGTGACGTCGACGGTAGGGTTGGTTGGGGGCCATTATCACCCCCTGGTGGCACGCTTAGCATTCCGCCTTGCACACCACACTCCATGTCATTTTACCTGAAATACAAACATTTGCAAAGGCAAAAGGAAAACAAAACACAATGCAGCATTGCTATCGATTAACGAGAAACAAAATGCAATTTTCTCAATTGTTTATACACATACTGCTGTTAAATATAAGAGTCTGTGGGAAAATCTTTATATAAAAAAATATAAATTAAACTGTCCACATGATAAAAATTACGTAGGTGTTTATGAAAATGCCATTCGTTAGATAATTAATATAACATAATCCAGAACTAGGAGTAAATATTTGTCGAGGAATTATTCAACCTGTGGATACGTGGTGATATGGTAATTAGGCGAGCAAATGCAGATTGCAATTTAAATTGTTTACTTGCGTGACACCTACTACAGTAAAATGCTTAGAAGCTTGGATATATCCAAGCATGCAAATGAATTAAATGTTGAAATAAATTAACACTTTCAATTTAAACGGAAATAAGAATTGCACTTTCGAAAAAATCCAATCACTTTTAAAATTTTTGTTCACATTTCTGATCGTAAATCAAAAAGGATCGAATTTAGAATTAAAAAAATAATTGGTTACGAATGCGCACGCTGAGCCCTTTAATATGATACCTTACTCGATCCTGGTATCTCATCTTTAAATTTCAACCGCCATTTTGGATCCTTTCCGCAATGAAAACAAAAAAAAATTTCAGCTATGTCGTGTGACGTATCGTTGGAAAGGGCTAGTTACATACGACCCAAAAATATAAAAAGATTTACCTGATCTATGCACCAAAAAGCAAGAGATGTATTACCAGTTAATTTTTAACGTTTCAGCCAAATGGAGAAAATTTCATGGTACGCAATCTAACGCAGTTTCAACCAACAAAACAGAGAATTAAATTCCTTTCTCCTTTGGAAATTAAAAAAAAACACAACACGGAAACCAAAAAGCAAGGGATCAAGAGCAAAACAGATGAAAAGAGAAAGAAACGGAATTAAATAAACGACTAGTATATACAAGGGTAATTAAAGGGTGGGATGGCGCACTATTGCCGTTTCTGTAATTAAAACAACGATAAAAATTCAAAATGGCTGCTCGAAACACAAGTGCAACCGGGTTTAAAGGATGCTTCGCAAAATCTTAATTTGACTAATTCCGCAGTCTTCTCCGTGCTCTTAACGACTTTAAGATGGCACGATCCGAAACAAACCCCTAACGAGATAGATTCAGAAGGAAATAAAAAAAAGAACATCAACGAACAGAACTTCGTTTTTACTCAAACTAAAACAAAACAACTGCATAAGAAAAAAAACACAATCCATTATTACAACATTAAATCCAGTATTTTACATTTAGGAGGGTCCTAGACACACTTTTTTTATTTGTTGTTAGTTAATTTTAAGGCACATTAGTACCTACAATTAAAATTTATTGTTGCTTGGTTACCACAAAGCCATGAAATCATATCTTGAACAATAATAATAAAAAGATCTGTATAAATTTATTTCGGGCGTCTAGCTGAAAAAATTCTCCCATAAAAAATTATTCTGAAACCGTAGGAAAAGCCGTTTGTCTATTTTTAAAATTTACCTAAGCAAATAAACATTTTCATTCAGTCCCGCCAACAGAAACCAATTTGAACATCATAAAATATGAATTTTGAAAGTATTAAAATCTTACACAAATAAACTGTGAAACGGCCAAAGCCACATTCGTAAAACGGTAATAAAAACAGCACACTATCTGCCAAATACGATTAGAAAATATTTTCAAACGAAATTCTTTTGTTAAAAAAAAAAAAAGATGCTAAGCTATTTAAAACATTTCTAATTTTTTATTGTACAGTATATCTTCTGTTCGTACTGTATAGTTACACATATGTATAAATAAATACTTTACATATAGATCCGCCTTCTGCAAGTATATACAAACGTAAAAATACACGTGTATTTGTCTATGTGTGCGGTGTACAAAAAGACCGGAAACGTACGCGCCACGAAGCGCCCGTATCGCTTCATTTCCCCGGACGCCGGAGGTCGCATACAAATATTCGCATTACAGGAACCCGCGCCATATCGTTCCATGTACTTTTTAATGCGTTCCGCGACCGAAAGAGCGAGCGAATCAACCTCTCTAGCGACGCGACGCGACGGGCGCGATTTCATCGTAAGCGACGACGTTGCCATTTTGTTCTCAATGACAGTAGACCATCGGATAGGCACAAGTCTGGCCACCATATTGATTCTAAACAAATTGCTAACGCACAACAAGGTTGAAAACAATAAAGGGCGGATACACTGACGATTGTTTTTGATGTTCTTTATTTCCATATTCTCCTAGACATTAAACACGTTATAGTATTTGGACACTGTCATAATTGACAGCAATGTTTAGATAAAATTAACATGGCGGCTTGAACTGCGATACGATACATCTCTCTTCAGAGAGAATAAATATGAATTAATGTTGCCGCTCTACTCTTTCTTGCAGAAGACTATTATTGTATAACAATTCTTAGCCGCCATGTTGATTCCAAACTAATTTTTTTACATAAAATGCGTTCGAAAACAATTGAGAGTAGCTTTAGCTTATTAGACATCAATTGTTACGAAATGGAGCCGCCATATTGATTCAAAAACAATCATTTATATAAAACAAGTTCGAAAACAACTGATACGGTTCGGGTAACTGTGGCAATTGTTTCTGACGTTATCCACGCTTTCATTTGATACCATGACACTACAAAATTGTACTCTTAGACAACAATTGTTACGAAATGAAAGGAAGCAAACATGGCGGCTTCAAATGCGGTACGGTACTTAATATTAGACGGTATTAGGTGATGCTAATATAAAAATGTTGCTGAATAGGGTCACTTTCATTGTTAAAATTTTTGAGAATGCGGGGAAGTCCGCATACGTGTAGCAACGTCGCAAACGATTACGTACAAGTGTCGCCACGGGACGTATTCGGGAATACAATAATTGCGCCCGCGCGATCCCGTTGGATGAATTAAACATATTGCCGTCGCGTCGCCTTATGAACTATTTATACAAGGGCTCGTTTCGCAGCGACGGCAGGCGGCGGCGGCGTCGTCGACTGACGCTACTACGACTACGACACGGGGAGACCATGAAGGCCCTTTTATTAATTTCGGCCGGATATCGCGGACGCAGCTGTTTTTTATTCCCTTCGAGCGTTTCGCGTAGCAGATTAAACGCCGAAGTCGCGCGCGTCGCGACGGGACGCCACCGCAAACTTCTGTTCATCTGTTTTCTTCGCGTTTTTTTTTCTTTCTGTAACAACTGTTCATTTACATATCTACACAAAAAAAACACACGAAGAGCAAGAAAACTTAATTAGAAAAGTCAATTACCCAATCCTTTTTTCCGAGAAAAATAATTGAAAGTAAAAATTGCTACATTTTGTGTCATTTGACGATTATTCGAATTAGAGACCGAAACTTCACGTGAAATTCTTTTCTAATCAATTTAAGGTGATAATTATACAAACACCCTGTATGTTGATATCGCTTGATGTCGCGGTATTATTGCAGGACTTGCCTCGACGGACGTTTTCTTGTCGCCCGAAAGGAAAATAAAAAGAAGGAAAAGTCGAAGTCTTTTCCGTGAAAAACGAAAAAGTCCAAGCCAACTTTGTATGTAGGTACATATAGATATACGGACCATCTCAAACTCAGCAGTCCATGTAAACAAAAGCGCAAACAAATTTCTTTTTAACATCAACGTTAAAAAACAAAACAATCGCTCTTTCTGAATATCGAATGCATTTTTTAGGTTTCGAATAGATTTCTTACTATCACCACCATAAATTTTCATTGCGACACCCAGAACCTACAATATTATGGAAAACAACAAAAAAAAAACGAATCTTACGACGTAATGTTTGATTATGATACGCGCAAGTCTTACATGAGACGGCTAAATGAATGAAAAATTGATCAAGGGCCCTAGCCTTTGAAGAGCTTATATCCACATAATTGTTCTACTGAATTTAAAAATCTAGAAATCGTTTTGTGACGAACTGTATGTGTATTAACGTAGGTGGAAAAGTGTGCAGCAGGGTTGGATAGTTTTCCACGGGGGGATGATTTTAATGCAGCTTCCGCAGCAGTCCGTATTTTACCGTGTTGAAATTGTACTTCTAAACAGTCGTAAACATTTGAGACATGTTCCAATTTAAATATGGGAAAGCGTGAAGAAGAGGTGGCGACAAACGATAACAATAGCGTCGCGACGGCAAGGTATCTTCTTCTTGCCTGGGAATCCCCCCCAAGAAACGCCACCTCGTTGCTATTTGTAACGTTAAACCGTTAAAAATTTCAAGTTCCAGAAAATATCAAAAATCAAAACAATAAAAAACAAATGACATAACATTGTTGAGAAACAAAAGATAAAAAATAGAACACGCCATTTTTGTTAAAAGAAAAAAAAAACAAAAATAAAAGAAGATCACGTTGTAGAAAATAAAGATAATAAAAATTGAAGTAAAGACAAAATATTAAAAAAAACAAGTTATCTCATTGTTAGCGAATTAGTTAGTGATACTTTATACAAAATGGTGGACCGACTTACGCTTATCAAAAAGATAAGGCACTGTAACTAGAATTTTTTAAATATTTTAAGTCAGTTTGCACTTCATTATTATCTTCGTGCTGTACCAATTGAACTACTGGTTAAGATTTTTTTGTTTATTGATGGTAGTATGCTATAGTTCGTCACCAATTATTTACGGTTAACTTGAATCACGTTTTGGCGTTAAAAGTGGGTGCCGCGCGATAAATAATTATAGTTCAAGTATAATTCGGTAAACTTGATCGATTCGGAGAAGATGAAACAAAAAAAAATGATCGTGCATGACCAATTGTTTCTAGCTTTTGGAAAATTTATAGCGGTCCCTTTGACCCAAGCCCGTCAAGTAATGTAACATTTGACAAAAACTGGATCGTCGAAAAAGCGAAAGTTTTTATCTGGCGTCACGTACCGTTTAGGTATTTTTATCGTGCCTTGGCGTTACATAAATTAAACTTTGCGTTTTGTCGTAACAATAATCGAAAAATATCAAAATTAAACCCTATTTTAATGGTTTTTCTAGTAACTGCAAAAAAACATGGCGGCACGGGCTAATTTCTATGCATAGACTACCTCCTCGGCAGTCATATTGGCAATTGTTAAGACTTTTGTTTATTAGTTGCTATAGTTACTGTAAAAAAACATGGCCGCGCGGACTAATCTCCATGGAAACTTATTGTTAGCTAGTCCGCAACATTGTTGTTTTGATTGTTGCAAAAACATGGCGTTTGGTACGCTCTAATTTCCATGGCAACCACCAAACAAATCTTATTAATATGCACATGATTGGTTAAAATTAAACGCGTACGAATTAATTTCTATGGCAACAGCCGCGCACTTGTTTTTACGTTTTGTAAACTTAAGGGTCAAAAAAAGTAACTAAGTACCATTCAAAAAAAAAATTATAAAATATTATTTTGAGTACGTTCGGCGGTAAAATTCATTTCTGTTAGCTGCGTCCAATCAAAGACACGTTACCTTATAGGTACACAACACACAGTACATAACCTTACTTAAACTGGATGCCAGTTCCAAAGTTTTTCTTTACTTTTAGAAGGACATACTAATTTACACTTGTTTAGGAAGTCTTGTTAATAAATATCTCAAACAAAACATCCGTCCCTTGCCACATTTGGTTCGAACAAACGTAAATAATTTCGGATCGCTCGAAAAATACTCACGCTCATTTCAAAAAACTTCAAAATTCTGGATCCGTCTTTTCCAAAACTTGGTCAACTTGTAGCAAACCATATCGAACTTTTTTTTTCGTAAAAGAAAAACACCAGGCAAGGTTAACTTGATTTACAAAACAAAAAAAAAGCACTCACAGAAAACTAGCGATAATTCTTGGAAAAAAAATGCCGGCTTTTCACGCACACAATTAAACACAACAATTCAAAAGTCGTATTTGTAAGCAAAATAGCGATAAGTGTAATTTATAGCAAATTTGCAAATGTTTACATGTCAAACCACCACTAACAAATGACTTTCTGTCTAGACTGCAAGACGTATGTCAATATTCGTCAAAATCAAAATGGCTACGCCTTTATCCTACAATGCAGGACGTACGTCTCGTCTTCACATGCATTCCGAAAACGAATTTCGAGCGAAACAGAAACAAGCCGATGCTCGATTATTAATCGGACAAAAACACGCCCAAAATTGAATTAAATCTTATAAGCGTTAATTAATTGAATTAAGATTGTTCTGTTTGCAAATATAAAAGTAAAACTGCGAGATTATGATCAAAATACAGCCAACAGTAACAAGATAAGATGAAAATTTAATAAAATTCGGAATTATCGTCGGGCATGCGCCTCCTAAGCCCGGCCTATTTATTTTTTTGCATGTAAGTTAAAATAAAGATATAAGGACTGATCGAATATAAAGAGTACATATACGAGGTCTACTAAAACGGAATCTAATTGAACCCTGTTTTTCTTTGATTGCTTAGGATTAAAAGACTATGGTACGCTATTGCGTTTAAAGCAACGAATAATAAACCCAAACGAAAACTTATTTTTGTATGATTTGCTTAAAAAACCGGTTGGGTACGGTTGTCTATTCCTATCGTAGCCCAACCGAACCTAATTAAGCACTGTTTTCCTTTGATTGCTTAGGATCATACGATTATGGTACGTTATCATGCTTAAAGCAATGAGAAAACCCAAAAGAAAATCTATTTTTGTGCGATTTATTTACAATAGGTTGGGTACAGTTGTCTATTCCTATCGTAGCCCAACCGAACCTAATCGAGACCTGTTTTTATTTGATTCATTAGGATCATACCGTTACGGTAAATTATTGTGTTTAAAGCGATGGGAAACCCAAAAGAAACACTTATTTCTGTGTGATTTGCTTAACAAAGGGTTGGGTTCGGTCGTCTATTTCTATTGTAACCCAACCGAACCCTATTTTTTTAGGATTGCTTAGAATCATGAGATTACGGTAGATTATCGTGTTTAAAGCAATGGGAACTCCAAAAAAAACCTACTTTTGTGTTATTTGCTTAACAATTGGTTGGGTTCGGTTGCCTAATCCTACTAAAACCTAACCAAACCCTATTTTTTTCTTTCTTTAGTTGCTTAATTTAGAAATTCGAAAAAGGTTGTTAAATGTGTATGTTTGGAGCACGGCGTTGTACGGGTGCGAAACATGGACAGTGGAAGTGGCGGAAAAGAAAAGGTTAGAAGCGTTCAAAATGTGGTGTTATAGGCGGACGATGAGAATATCGTGGGTAGATAAGGTTAGAAATGAAGAGGTTTTGGAAAGAATAGGAGAACAGAGGACTATATGGAAGACAATAAAAAATAGGCGAGATAGGTTGGTAGGACACCTTCTCAGGCATGAAGGTCTAGTCAGAGACATATTAGAGGCAGAAGCAGGAGTTAGGAGGGGTAGAGGTAGACCTAGATTAGATTACTGTTCGCAAATAGTCAAGGATATGGGTAATTCTAGTTTTAGGGAAATGCGAAGATTAGTTCAGGTTAGGAAAGAGTTGACATGCGTGTCCAACCAGTCTTAGGACTGATGACCTTATGATGATGACGACGAATTGCTGAGGATCATGTTATCGTGTTTAAAACAATGGAAGCCCAAAAAGAAAACTTATTTTTTGCATGATTCGTGTAACGAGAGGGGTTAGGTTCGGTTCTTCAACTTACTTTACCTTTACGTGTGATGTACCTAGAAGTACAAAGTAATCGCTTCGTGCGCAGTTTACTGTAATAATTTATTTAGACACCTGTACAGTATTCGTCTCTTACAAAAATTCTGGCAAGTAATGTACAACAACAGGACGAAGCACAGATAAATAAATATTCGCAATTTGCGATGGTAACTTTTCCACACGCGCAACTCGTCGATATAAACGAATCGATTCCTCAAATCGTTGGGCAATTCAAACCGACTAGGATTAGGAAACAAAGACAAATAAAAGTCGTACAAAATCGCTCGGACCATTTCGTTCTCCGATTCGGAATAATTGTCCATATTGTCATTTAAACAAACGAACTTTCTAAAATAAAACAATTGCAAAAAGAACAAAAGCAACTCGAACGATCTGAGCTTACTTTGGTTCCCTTCGAATCTCGTCCAAATGGCCGACGACTTGGCTGACGTTTGACGTCAACATTTTAAACGTGACATATTTGTCTTGGGAATGTTTTATTATTTTGTGTTTGTATTTTTTTACAGTCCCGAACTTTTTAATCAGAATCTCCGACATCGTTTCGCAACTGGCTATCAGTTGCTTCGACACCGTGGGCTGAAAAAGTTGAAATTAGAATATGCAAAAGCAAAAAAAAAGGAATTTTAATTCAGAAACAATGGATGTCGAAAAACAAAAATGAAAAGAGGACAAATGAAGATTCTTATTAGAAACACGTTTACAAAGCACACGCGGCAAAAAAAATGAAGATTTTAGCAAAAAGAAAATGGATACCCAACACAAAATGGAAACGACTGAAGATTCTAACAATTAAAGCAGACAAAGATCCTTATTAGAAACACAATAAAATCAAGCAGAAAAGATAAAGTGGAGATTTTAATTAGAATAAGCAAAAAACAATAGAAAAAGAGAACAAATGATAATAACAAACGAAGATTTGAATTAGAAACAAATGAAAGAAGACAATTGGACATTCCATTAAGAAATAAATTGAAAACAAAACAGAAACAATTGAAGATTATTTTTGGAAACGAACCAATTTCGAATCGACGTATCTTTCAAATTCGGGAGTCACAATGACGTCATCGTAATGAAACCCATTGCCTCTAAAGGTGCAATTCAATATTAAATTTTCGAATTGGTCCACCATTTGATACGTCAGAGGTAATTCGTATAATCGAGTCAAAATTGTACGAATTTCTCTGTCTGACCAAGTTCTAAAAATGATAAATAGGTACATAATTATTTATCCTGCTCTCCTATCAATAATCTATAGGTACCCTGAATTATCAGTGTCGAAAACGTCAAAAATTTCTTCAATATCCCTTTTCCTATTTTCGTGGATAAGGAAATAATAATAGCTCAAAGAAAATTGCATGTCGTCACCCCTCCTGACCCGATTTGCTGAAGTTTTTTCAAATTCGATCGGAAATGTCTCTTGCAAGTTTTCCATAATTTTTCTGTCGATTAAAATTGGGGCATGTGCAGGGGTGTATCTCGAAAGAAATCCATATTTCAAATTCAATATCCGGTTTGTATGTTGCAGAGACGCCCTGTACGTATCTATTCGACTGTCTTCTCGGGATGGACAGGATTTTCCGGACGACTTTTGTAATTCAGGTTTCTTTAACTGTGCAAACTTTTCTTTTATGTTCCTCCGTTTACGTTTTAATCTGTCGTTCTGTAAAACCTTTCGGTTATGCTTTCTTACAACTTCAGCCACTTCAGAGATGCTGTTATTCACTATTTTTTTGGGTTCAAACTCCAATTTGACAACAGGAAGAGGAATTGTCGATTTATTTCCAACAGTATGGGTTTTATTAGAGTTTTCGTTTGCATTAGTCTCAAAAACGTCCCAGTTTTCTATAAAGAACGGCTCGAAAGTCGCCCTACTCAACTCCTACAACAACATTTTGAACACTTGATAGAAGAAAAAGAAACTAACGCAAAAAGTTGCCACTCAACAAGGAACAAAACAACAAAAAACAAAAAGATCCGGCTCGAAGGACCAAACGAAATTATGAATTTTAACAGATAACAATAGGGAAAAAGCGAACAACAAGACAAAAGAAAACGGTGACAACTTTTGTTTAAACATTTCAACATAAAAACAAAAGAACCAAGCGATTTGGCGTGTTTTTACCGATCCAAAATCACAGTCACCCCCGTCCATTTGGCATTCATCATTTAGGCAGGGCAAATCGCACTCTTTGTCGCCCACATACACCCAGGGACAGTCTTCAGCACACATTGGAATGGGCCATGAAAGGTACACAATGAAACCGTTATTTGGCGAATAAAAATCGTCAGGAAAAATCGAATCTCCCAAAAATACGTCATCATTGAAATATATAAAACGATCAGATAAACCTGGTATTCTAAAAATTAAAAAGATAAAAAATTGCAAGAAGGGAGTCCTTAAAACCTATCAAATTGATTACCTATGCAAATTAGATTCAATGGCAGGACTAGAAAAGGTTGGAAGATGTTTGCTATCAATAAAAATATCCTGATGACTCACTAAAGTGACCTTATCACAATCTAAGTTAAGCCAGTAGGGTATTTGACCATTAGTAACTATGTAAACATGTCTCACCCAAGGGGCAAACTTCTCTAAAGACCTTGAAATACAATTAATTATAAAAATCTTCACAATGTTGTAACCTGGGTACCTTAGAGAGAATTTTAGTTCATATTTATCATCAAATCTTTGAAGTGATAAATCTGTTTGGAAACTGTTATTGCATGTAAGAAAAGTCTGTAAATTATTTAAAAATTGTTGATCTGAACCATTTACCCATGTGTATACGACATCAATAGGTTCATCAACATTATAATGACACCCATTGATTAACATAATTTTTCTAATAGCCTGAAATTAAGAAAATGATAACAAAATTTGTTTCAAGATTAAAAAAAATACTCACTTGGAAAAAATAGGCAATAAGGATCACAAATATAAGTCCTACAAAAGTGCTTAATGCTTTGTGCTTCAATAAAAAGTTAATTATATAGGAATTAAAAATCATGGCAAAAAACAAATTTTTCAAAAATTTTGATATTAACCTAAAAATGATGAAATTGTTTAAACAAAATTGAAATACAAATGTTAAACATCACAATTATTAATTACCTTTATAAACGAGTTATCAGTTATGGAAATACACTGATAACACATTTTAAGGATTCAGGAATTTTGATTTCCTCATTTATTATTTTGTATAAATTCTTTAATTTTAATTAAAGATCGGTGATTAATCAAGGAAAACACTACTATTAATTAAAATTATAACAAAATAGACTGCATTTTTTAAAAAAAATTTAACTATTGATATCTTTAAAGGGGTTGAAGCTATCTGATATGATATAAAGGTCATCCACAATGCATCAACATTATTAAGGAACATATTGAGGAGGTTATGTCTACATCAATGTTTACGTCAATTTACATGTTTCACTTTAATATAAAACAATGGCAAAACTAATGGAAATGGAGTACAAAAGTCAAGAGGAACCTTTCTCCAGTGAAAGCTCACAAGCAATTCTTCAATTGGAACCTTTAAGTAATGATGAAAGCCTAGTTTTAAATGATATTTTTGACAATTGTTTGGAGACTGATGAAGGCCTTTTCAAAGGTCAACAAGTAAAACTTAAATTGAGTCATACTGAAGAAATTTTAGTAAAGTCTGAAGGTAATAGCTTGGACAAACATTTACAAAGTCCTGTTTTAAAAAATGAAATAATAATCGAATCAGCAGTTGTTCAAGGTATTGGACATGCAGTTAAACAGGAAGATCAGTTAGAAAACACCATTAAAGACGAACCTAAACCGGAAGACGTGTCTACCGAAGATGGGACCATTTCACCTGCAGACACAGTAAAATGCATAAGTGTTGATTACAGTCAGACTGAAGTTTGTAAATTAATGGAATCTGATAGCGATGGGGAAGACAATGAGTCAAGTCTCCAAATAGACACAAGCACAGATCCAATGGATTCTCCTTTGAATGCGTACCATTCGATTAGATTATCCCATTGTGTTAACTGCAAGTTAAAATTTAATAAGAAACCAGCATTCTTTGATCATGTCTTCAACACCCATCAGTTATTCTTTCTATGTTGCTACTATTGTAAGCAAAAGGTACCAGTAAAACAGATAAGGACTCATCTAAGAGAGCACATTCACAAGGAATCTCTAACTAACATGCTATTTGAAAAGGCAGTCCAAATAATCGCGTTAAAGTGTGAAATAAGATGCCAGATATGTGGCATCCTGTTCACCTCAGTCCCATCACTATGCTCCAATCGCATACTAAATCATTTAATGAAGCACATCAAAGTCCCCTTTAAATGCGAACGTTGCGATAGGATCTTTGGCGGGAGAGCTCCATTAATGAAACACATCCTGTGTCATCAGAGGAATAGCTGTTTGGACTGTGATAGGATTTTCAAGACTACAAAACTATTAAAGCAACATCTTGCTTATCATCAAAACACTCCAATCAGTTGTGAAGTTTGTGGACAGAAGTTTCTCATGAAAAGTGTGTACAACAAGCATATTCTAAATCATGCTACATTTGAGTGTGATAAATGTAACAGGAAGTTTCTGACAAGCGCCATCTTGAAGGCTCACCAAGCAAACCATCCCTTTAAATGTAAGCAGTGCAATGTGACCTTTAGGTTCCACATGCAGTTGATCAGGCACCAAAGAAAAAGGCACAAAATAACCGAAGTTGAAAGTAACAATGTCGATAGTGAGTATGAGTGCATGAGATGCATGAAAACGTTTAAAACAATGGTCGAATATTCTTTACATACTCATATTTAATGTAAACTTAGCCTTAGAACACTAAACTGTGTTGATTCGATGTAACTCTGGTGTTAATGTTAACTTAGCCTTAAGAGACAAAACTGTGTTGAATCGATACAACACTTTGGTGTTTTCACAATGTTACGTCGAAATACAGGTTGTGTAGTTAATTTAATTTGGATTAGTTAGTAACCAACACAAACTAGTCTTGTAAAACGGGGCAAACTCGTTTTATTTTCACTTTATAGTAAATTTAGTTGAGTTGTGTGATATTTCAGTCACTTAGAATTTAAACTTTTATACCCTAATTTAAAGCGAAATATGTAATACTTAAACTTATTTGTATGCACATGTCAATAATTAGCAATAATAATTGAATAAATAAATAAAATAAGTAGCAGTTTGTATTTTCTATAGTTGAAGGCGTATGAATATAAGACATAAACACAGTCTTTTTCGATGAGAGCTAAATTTTCGATGAAGCATATACTTCAGGCAACACGTGCTTTACTTTGTGGTTAGAAAACATTATAAAAACAATAACAAAAGACACAAAAAGGCTGTAAATAATTGAAAATAAAACGAGTATGCATCCTAGAAGTGGATCATTGAACACTAAAAGAGATAATGAGGATGCTGATGGTTTGGAAGAAGACAATTGTGAGATAAAAACATTAAAAATAAACACAAGCAAGTGGAAAACACTTCATCACAGACTTCTGCAACACCATTGCCTTTTTGAGTGTCCTGTTTCCAATCCGAAAAAGGTAATTAAACGCTTACGAAATATCTAAATAATAAACAATGTCATTTCAGACTGGAAACTATGCAATTAAATTTGAAAAAAGACTGTTACAAGATACAGATCAAGTAAAAGCCCTTTTTAATCCCGACGACACCACGAATATCGGTCTCCCCTATCCCCTAACATTTCCAGGACAAGTGTCTCCGGATGTAGACCCCTGTACTAAGTTAGTAATAGAGAAAGATAAGTATAGACAGGACTTGCAATATTACAGGAGCGTTCACAAAACCCATAAAGGTCGCATTGAGTTTATAAAAGAGAAGGAATTTTGTGTACTCCCTAAATATTTAATTGACATCAGTAAAGGGGCTCTAAAAGACCCAGATCCTTTCTTTAAAGGTTCATATGACTGGTATTACACTGGAGGGATCATTGATACCATAAATTTAATGGGAATTGCATACACAGTCTATCCAATCAAAAATGGATCTTTAGGTACATAATAAACTATAAATGTTTTCACTCTAAACTTTTGGGCTTTATTGCAGGCATAATTGAATCAGATGAACATCATAGAAGTCATGAACTAGATTGTGACTTACAAAGTGATGTAGGCAACCCAATTTACTCGCTAAGGTCTAATGAATTTAATAAAGGCTTCGCAACCCTTTTGAGAAAGAAGTATGAACTCTTTTTGGTCTGTACCACCTTTGAAGATGATTTATTCCAGTCTAGTCTCGTTTGGAAGCGAGAATCTTTACTAACACCCTATATTGACTTCAAAATAGATCTGACCACCAATTCACAAATAGCTACTGTCGATTTGTCCCACTGTTTGCAGTTATTGGACTTGGAATCGAATAAGGTTTTGAACGAATACAGCGTTGCCTCGGTCTCCGAGACCCTTCCAGACCAACTGGCGCAAATAGAATACTTGAATAGTAAAACAATCCTATGTACAAACCGTAAAACGATTCAACAGTTAGATTTAAACTCGGGGGAATTACAGAAATTTAACGTGAAAGCAGATTTTTATAATTGTGATGATGTCTGTTGTTTTGTTGGTAGCCAAAGGAATAACAAATACATTTACGTGGCAACGACTCATAACTTATTAAAAATCGATCTGAGAAACATGCGAAAAACTGGAAACTATTTATATGTTAATAAATGGGCTCATATGATGACCACACCCCCTGTTGTTATGAGCTACTCAGTAGTTGATGATGACTTTGAATGTTTGTACTTGTCAGGGCCTAAATTTTCAGATAAGGTATTATTAAACCTTTCAACAAATACTCAACTGCCTGCTTATGTACCCAACATAGACGATGCATTGAATACCCTTAATTTAACGGGAAATATACGATATGGGGAGGAAATAAGAGAAAGGGTGCGATTGTGTAACGCGGGAAATGGAATCATTAAGGCTAGAGAAAGAAACTTAACTTTAGTAACTGCAAACTCAGTTGGAGACGTATTCGAACAAGAAGTAACCCATCGAAACCCACCGGAAAGAACCGAGCAATTCGCTCGGTGGTTGGATCAAATCCCAAAAAAGAGAAGACCTCTAGAGATCACGGGTGTGTCTAACATGGGTGGTTATTTTTTTGGGATGATAAACGACGATGCTGACGAATATTACTTGAAGAAAATGAGAAAAGAAAATAAGCAGGTTCAGAGACTGAAAGACGAGTTCTTCGATTTGGATATCACTGATCCTAAATTCAAAGCAATGAACGCCGTTTGGGAAGATGAAAATTTGGATGATACGTCGAAACATTTAGCAGACGAAGTAACTCCCAAACTCAAGGTTACTGAGTGGTTGCAAACTGCTAATGAGTCAACTGGTGATTTAAGTGGATTTGAGTATTTAAGCGACATTCAATTTTAATATATGCTTATAAAGATATAATTGGCTGTGATATTTATTAATAAATAAACGCCACAAATGTCTAATGAGTTTCACTGTCTAATAGTGGGATACAGTAATGGGCGTGTCAATTTTGCAATCACCCTATATATACTGCAGCTAATTTAAATCTTAAGTACAAGATTCATAACATGTACTTCAATAAATAACACATCAAAAATGTTCCGCAATTTTTGATGTAAAAGATCAATAAAACGTTATCTGTTGGTATCAATTCATAAATAAAGTAAATAATACATCAAAAACGTTCCGCAGTCTTTGCTGTGGTATGTAAATCAGTAATCAATGAGCGGTCTAGAATAAATTTTCGTTTACTCAATACGAGAATGTCAGTATGACATTTTAGTCATTTTATAAAAACAACTAAACATATTCAAATATGATCAATTCTGATCTATCAAAATGGATCTTTGCAGGAATTATTATTTACATTATTGCGATAATATTAGGCAAGTTATTATGCTATTAATTAATGTAAAAAATTAGTAATAACATAATTAATTATATTATAGTAATTTGCATAAGAATGTTCGTAATAACGAAGGTAATATGCCCCTATAGTTCTTGCGGAATTCATTGTTATAACTGTCGTTTAGAAAATTGTGAAAAGTACTGCAGAATGGTAAGATTTCACAGTTTGTTCTGCTGTAAGAGAAGACACATAGTCAACGTAAGAATATTTAATTGAAACACAAAAAGCAATAAATGCGTAAAGTACCTGAAAGAAATATTAATTAGTAAATGACGAAACATTAATAAATTGTATTCAGACCCCTTTTTACAGGACAAAAGCTGGTTTAATTGTAGACGATTGCCCAAATGCACCTGTAAATGTTTTTTACCCCGATGTTACTGTCTTTGCTGCGAGTTCATCTTCGAAAATGAAGAAGACTTGGCAAAAGACCCAGTAGTAATCGGAGACCCTTAATTATAGAAATAATAATAAACCCACGCCCCTCCCTCCCTTAGTAAATATACACAACATTATTAATAGAAAAGGCACAATAAATTGTATATTATTTATTAATTTCAATTGCACTTTTACTAAACAATAACGACGACGGGCTTGAATTAAGACGGTTTGGGATACCGAAGTTTTTGACGATTATACGTGTATTCGGTCAGAGGCTTTTTAATTTGTGAATAATTATTGGCCTCCTTCCATTCAGCTTCTAGCCTTATCCAAATTCCACCTGAAAGAAATTATGTTAGTGTTTTTGGTACAACAGGAGTATTAACTCACCTGGTGGTGTGATATATCTCGGCCATGGTTTCCCTGTAAGCAATTTCTTACCGTTATCAGCTACATAACTCCTTCTTTGCAATGTGACTCCCATCTTCTTGAACGCAGTCTCTTCGTAAGTCCTTTGTAGGTCCTGATTACTTCTGGCCGATAATTTATTCTGCCAAAATTTCCCACTTTGGGCCTTTTTCTTTTTCTTTCTACGTTTCGGGGTCTTTTTGGGCTTCGATCTGGGACTAGAAATGGAATATCTTTCTTCAGCACCGTCACTGTCGAAAATCGTTGACGTGTCAGAGGTTTGAGAACTTGACGAACTACACGGGGATTCTTCGACTGCGTGCTTAACGGCTTCTTCCGGAGTCAGGTCAGTGAAAGTACCTAAGAGACCGAGACGGGGCCTCGGGGGGGTTAACTCCAACCCATCCCACCAAAATTTCGTACCTTCTATTTGTAATTTTCCCGAAGTGTTGGATGCATCTCGAGCGATGAGTCTCGTCAATCTTTCGGGGAATATCAGCTCTGGGGGCTCCTCTTCGATCAAATGGCGATACCTTTCCAAAGTTTCCAAAACTCCTACGTCTCGGACGTTTTCTGTAGACGGACAGTGCTCCCGAAACTTACAACCCTAAATATTTTGGGAGATAAAATGCAAAATAATTGAAGAAAACAGAAAACTTTAGTCGATAAAAACAGTGGTTTGGGTTTAATTACCAAGTTGCTGTCAAAGAGCTGAAATCTATAAGCTCTTTCTCCGCAACAGGGGAATCTCCCTATGGGGAGAGGTGCTTTATGGGCATCGACGGTAAAAAATTGGGGAGGATCAGGGTGATAACGACACCATCCAATCTGATGGGCTGGGAAACAGGTTTTGCATATGATACAGTACAAGAAATGGCAATTTCCCCATAGTCGCCAATAAATCCTTCGCCAAGTGCGAAGATTCTTGTGCAATCTCCTTATAAAATCGTTTATATTCCAATGGGCGTCTCTGCAAGAAACAGAACTATCAGATGGATCTAATCCATAATATCACCCTTGGAAATCTCGTGGGTACCTAACGTGTCTACTGATGAGTTCCCCATCAGGTTGCAGTCTTATGCAACTCATTGCGCATCTTATATTAGGAGCAACGGTTGGTGTAATGATCTGATGACATTTGGAGCACTGATACATGTATGCCATTGAACTCCAGTGGCCTCTAACACTTTCGGGTTCGGGCTCACACATACTTTGTATCAGTTTGCAATAGAGGCGCGACTGGATTTTGTCCTTTCTGTCACGAATTGATTCAACCTCGCTATTGGTGTACATTGCACCCAGTCTGGTCAAGATGGCGTCGTTCAAGCAGGACATATTTGTGGGCGAACGCAAGATTTCGTTCATTTGCGAGTGCATGAACAAAAGGCAGTCCTGTAGGAGTGGTTCCATTTGGAGAAAGGAAGCGGAAATAGCTATAGGGACTACACAATGGGGGTCTAACGTGGGGGGTTCCGTGTCTTCGACATCTGACGATTTCACCCAAGACATGAGCCACTCAAAGATGCTAATATCGCAGTGGACTGATATGTCCATGTCTTCCAGTTTCTGTCCTTGAAAAAGGGGTCAGTTTTTTGAATTGATTAATATATGGAGGACGATAAACATTTGTACCTGCCGTGACTTGGGCGAAATAGCCCATCTTTTCCACTAAAAGTTTCTGATTACATACAAAATCTTTTTTCATGTTCTTCACCTCGTCACAGACGTGAATAAGGACCTCAGAACTGGAATATCGAATGAATTTCGATTGTATTTTATATGCAATATGAAATACTGTCCTGACTTACTCGCGTCTTGTTGGTGGCTTATTATTTGCAGGGGTTGGGGACCTCTTTTGGCTTTTACTGGAATGATTACTAACGTGACTTTGATGACTGGCCTTTTCTGTTAGTTTGTGTTGAGATGACTGCATATTGCACCTCGACTTTTGACGCGGCTGGGGTAACAAATAGGGCAAAACGGAATCCAAGATTCCTTCAGACAATGCTTCATTCAATTTATTTTGAAGACTCTGTTCAGCTGTAGAATCAACTGTGACATTTTTTAAACATTTCTCATTATCTAGAAACTTTTAATTACTTAATACTTTGATGAATAAAAATTTTACATATGTAAATAACCTGTGAGATTAGTTTGTGATGTCTGACAACTAAAATCAGTTCTTATAAGTTCGCTTTCTTTTAGTTTAATCCAATCAACAGCCTCTTGCATTCCATTTGCAAGAAGGATGTCTTCAATATTTTCTTGAACCTATGAATCGAATTTTATTAACTTTTCCATTAAAATTTTCTTAATAACTCACCTGATAAGCAGTTTTTAAAAAGCCTAAGAATTGCTTAACAGTTATGGATGATTTACCATCTACGGGTTTTATGTCCTTTTTTGCCTTTGTATTAATTATTTTTACTGCGAATTTGGAATTTTGGGACGTCAAGGTACTTAAATTATTATTTGCCTCCATCGTAATTCCATCTATTTGCCAATAACAATTTTAGCAATAAAAGAGACAATAAATGTGCTCTTTATTCGTACTTAAAGGGATAATTACATGTCGCTTTTAATGCTGTTAAAGATAAAATATGTTAAAGTACCTTTTAAATACGATTTTAAAATTTCGTTTACAGTTGAGTCTATTACTCAAAAATTCTTGGTCAACGATTGAAACTTTTTAATTTTAAACTCAAAATTGATGCTGTAAGTCATAGTGACAAATTATTGCCACTACTATACTGTCATAAATAAAAAACATAAATGACAACATATCAACCAACATCAATTTTCTGTTTCTTGCAATCATCCTGTATATAAATAAACATGCAAAGAGAAATTTAAGGTAACACATGATTATCAATCTCATAAATAAAATAAAAACATAGAAACAATGATAAAAATGATCCAAAAGTACATCAAAAACGTTTCGCAGCCTTTGATGTTGTAAAGAAACATTTTCAGATACTCTGTAATTTATTTATAAAAAAATATATATATACAGAAATGTGTCAGGTTACCATCATAAACCAACAAGAATATAATAAAAATAATGATATAAAAGTGCATCAAAAACGTTCCGCAGTTTTTGATATTACAAAAAAAAAATATTTTAACGCAACTTTGTACTTATAGTTAGTAAACAATATAATAAAGCATTCATAGTTAGCACAAGAAATAAATTATTAAATTAAAAATACGTGGAAAGAAACAAAACGGTGCATTGGATAATTTATTTTTTACAATACAAGTACCTTTTTATTTGTGAAACGCAAAAAAAGTCCCACACTTACCAAATATTTTGCTGAAAACGAAATATAAATTAAGCACTTATTTGGTATGCCTTAGAATAATAAATCTTGAAAAGAAATAACCAGTGTTAGAAATCCACTCTTTATTGATCAAACTCTCGAGTGTAACAAATCAATACATAAAAATTAAATATTNTAATTTATATCAGAGGTGTCCTAAGACGTCATCATAAAAGAATTGAACTTTTAGAAAGCTCAAATTTGAGAATTAAAGGAATCAATGATTATAAAGAGAGAATAAAGAGGACACCTTAATGTTCACGTAAATAACTACTTTCTTTTTATAATAAATCAAAGTGCAACAACTCACCTCTTTTTTAGCAGAAAAGATGTCACCTTCTTCCTTCTTGGGTCTCTTCTTCCTTTCCCTGCGGAAATAGTCATCATTAATGTTCTTAGGAAGTTTGAATCCTTTAAGGTCTATTTTAGTCTTTGTTCCAATCACATAACGTTGGTGGATTCTTCTAAGTGGGCAACCATTTATTAGATAGGGACCTAAGTTAAAAAAAAGAAATAAGCAAAATTGCACTTCGTCTACATAAAAATCTACTGTACCAGTTATTAAAAGCAACCCTGATCTCAGCTGCTTCAGCATAACTACCCTCTTACCCTTGTGGACACCAGCCAGAAGGATAAGTATTGTACCAGGCCTTAAAGACTTGCGTAGGTTACGGGTATGATTTTTAAATAACTGTTTAGATTTTGGTTTCCTAATTCTACAAATTAATCACTAGATTAGCAGTCAAAAGTGCACACAAAATTGAAACTTACTTTTCTTGGGTTGGAAAATAGTTTCTTCGTTTTTTCAAGAACACAATACGTTTTCCACCGTTCTTTTCTCCCCCAATTGGCTTTTCAACAAACAACGGTTTACTAGGTTTCTTTGTAGGCTTAACTTTTTTTCCTACGAATTTGTAAAGGGCTTTCTTATGGTACATACGGGACCTAGAAAACCTATACACGCCATTTCCTAGATTATAATTCCTTGGTCTCGATCTTTTCTTTGCCTTGTTTTTTTCCTTGGCTTCCGGCTTCTTTTGAGCAGGGGCGGCCTTCTTTGCTTCTGTTGGCGCCATCTAAAACACACACTCACTTTACAAGAGAACACTTACATTAAACACATGCATGATTTAAGGTTAGAGTTAAAATCAGTTCACAATATATCGACACAATGTTTCAGAAGTGTCCTAAGGCCTAAGAAAATCATCATTAAAGACACCGTTTATGCAAAATTACATTCGTTTGTTTTTTTTTCTTTTTATGTTTGTTCGTTGCACATTTCCAATACAGGTTAAGTTAGAATGTAGAATTGTTTATCTTTTTTTGAATACAGGCATAAAATATTGTTAAAATATTATAAAAGGATACATAAAAAGCACTTTATAACAAACTCACATTAAAATTCCTTAAATTTACGTTTAGATTGAACGGATTTAAAATATTAATCACATTTTACTTACTTCCTACGGCTAAAAGAATGCGCCGACGCTATTCTATGGTTGTTTAATGGTGGATGTGACGTTTGAGCCGAACAGGATGCTGGGAAATGTCTCCTTTTCAAATGTTTGCCCGCGATAAATTCGATTTCAAATAAAACTTCTGTCAATTGGAGACGTCTGCAAATAATTAATAAAAAAATAAGTAAAAATAGTTTAGGAAAATATAAAAGTCATTATTAATAAGCATCATGTCTTTTATTTAGGCGTATATGTATAAACTTGTACATAAATATATTAAATAAACTACTATTCATTATCAGTAATGTAATAATACTATTTTAAATTTATTTTTGTGATAAACGTTAATTTTCTATTACTGTCTACTAATATCACAATAATTAGAATTTCTCTACGACTTTTATCTAATAATTTCGATTAAATAAAACGAAAACTCAACAAAAATATTTACAGGGTTAACAATACGTTCTTTTTCTACGTATACTTCTATGTAGCATATTTATTTATAAATCAGTATCAATAATAAAATAAGTTTGGGTAAATGCTCATAAAAATTACGTAAATTATTTTTTTCCTTCAGTCTGTTCTGCAATGTAACTGTACAAATGTACAGTGGATAGTAAAAAATTGGACAGTATCACAAAAACAAAATACCATTTAAAACTGTAGCTTTGGTAAAAACAAAACACTTATCTAACAATCAAAACAAATACTACAATTGGCAAAACAATTGAATAACCATTTGTTTCGAGTGAATAAAACTATTTTCTTTTGTTTTATTCGACATTTTTTTGTTTACGCTTTATTGAGGTTCAAAAAATTAAAAGAAAATACCTACTTAATGTCTGGGATTAGATTAGTCGATCATTGTGTGGATTAGTAGGGTCTCCTCCCTCATCTGCCATCACGAGTTCGAAAGAGTTACTTACAGAGGTTTCTCTGATCCAATTGTCTATTTCAGAGGCGTACATTCGGTGTTGTAATACGTCTCTGGTACGCTGACGACGACCCACGTAATACGAAACACCCTGTACAGCGAAAATATAGGAATATAATATTATAAAACACAAACAGAAATTATCATACCCCTGGAACAAAGGAGTCCCTGAGTTTGTCTAAAAGTACCGGATCTTGGACCAAATTTTGCAAAGTATTCCAATCGATGATCACTTCTTCAACTAACATTCGTTCCTCTATATAAAAAACGAGTAAAATAAAAACAAAATGATGTGATTACAACTTGTTTTATTTCTTTTGTTTTACTCACCGTCTTTTTTACTCGTCTGCTTTTTGTATTGAATCCGGAAACGAAAGGCTTCCAATACAGAGGCCACAACGATAGTTAATACGACCATGGTAAATAAATAAAACAACATAAAATAAAGTCGCGAAGACGGATGGAGGACTATCGAATAAGCCTCCATTACAATAAACCAGTTATTAACAACGGTCAGTTCGAACAGGGTCACTCCAGTTGTTAATAAATCCTTGAAATTGTTTAAATAATAATAACCAAGAGCACTGGTCGTGTTGGTACTGTATTTGTAGTAATCCTCCACCGTCGTGTTTCTGTAAATACAATAAAAAAGACAATCACAAAAAAAAAAAATTGGAATACCTATTTTGTTTTAACAAAATTAAAAACAAAAGAAGGTAGTTAATATACGAACAAATGCGAGCAATTAATTGTGGTATCTTTTGTTTTTAAATAAAGAAAACAAAAAAAGAAATAAGCAAAGGTGACGTACATGCAGCAGTTACGTAAATCGATGTCTGAAAACAGTTCCATCCCAATGATGGCAAAGAAGTAGTACAAAACGAGCATAACAACAGATGTAGAGCACATCAGAGGGGACAGAAGTACAACGGTCCCAAAAATGTCCCTGTATCGCTTTTTTAACTTGAAAAGTCTCATTAATCTAAAACAATTATTACTTTTGTAATAAATATAGATTTTTTTTGTAAAACAAACCTTAAGGGTCTTAAAATGACAACACCGGTAAATGTTGGCCTTATTAGTATCAAAAACGAACCCCAGATAGCCGCAATGGTAACAACCAAGTCGAACATGTTCCAACCACTCGCTGAATACTGCGACCACCCCAAACCGACTATTTTGAGTATTGCTTCTATCAAAAAGACTGTAAAAAACAAAACTGGGTAGACATTTAACGTACAGGGTGATTATTTATTTTTTTTTCTTACGTGAAAAAAACAAATAAGCATCCCAGGACGTGCAAAAGTTTATGGCCAAATCTTCGAGCGAGTCTGTGGGCTCCAAAACCCTTACGAACATTGCAATTCCGTTTGCAATTATGGATAAATCTAAAACAAAAACAAAAAAAAAAATGTAGACACGTACAAGTTCGATTTTTTAAATCTTACAAACAATATACTCGAAGTAAGGCCACACAACGAAATCGTGAATGGCCTGAAGAACTGGCTTGAAAATTCTCGTCGTGGAGGCAAACCACGGCTGAGACGGGTTTTTGAGGCTCCAGTATAAATTTTCTGCGTTGTAAACGTTCAAGAACTCCTCCATGTTGAGCATTCCCTTCCTCGAAATGTTTAATTGCCAAAACATTAACACAACGTCTCTTATGTCTGGAATAAAACAAGAGTTAAATCGCACCAGACAAAAGAATGACGAACAAACAATATCGCATAGAATAAAATAAAACAAAACTAAAACAAAAACCATTTCGACTGAAACAAAAGAATGAATAACAATTTATGCTAGAAAAAAACAAATACATAACTACAACAAATGAAGAACTGAAAACTTACTCGTTCTTGGAGAATAATATTTCATCATGCCATAAAACTGTTTAAATCTGATGGCGTCCGGGGTCTGTTTACTGACCAAAAGCCTAAAGGCCAGTTCGCAGGCTCTTCTTTTATGCAGTAGCAACTTCCTAAATTTGTCCTTCTCTATGTTTGTAAATGTTTCGTAAACAACGGCTAACATCTGAATAACACCAACAAAAAAAAATATATAAAACAATTGCAAGACTCTTCTTGTTTATAGTTTACAAAAAAACAAAACAGCTTCTCACCAAGTTCATTAAAACGTACAGAACCATTGAAATGTAAGAGATAAAGAACGCCGCGTACCATTTAGAAACAGCATAGGCTGGCATCATTACGTCGGGAAAACTGAAAGACAAATTACGTTAAGTGAAAGAACACAAAACGTGTTTCAATATTGCAGTTACTTAGCGGTTGTTAAGAGGACGAACATGCTGACGAAACTGTCTTGTAAAGTCTTGAAATACATGCTGTTTGGCTGCTTAGAGAAGAGGAAATAGCCCAGAAGGGTGTAACTGCAGACCAGAAATAGTAAGAGGGCCATCATGTCAAGAATGGGGGGTAACGACTGGAGTATTTGCCTTATGAAACGTCTAACGCCCCCCATGGCCCTCGTGTCTACTAAAAATATAGGACGTAGCGCTCTTGTCACCCGGAAATGAGACGATTGACGAATAAGGACCACCAGCGCTTCTACGACCATTATAACAAGCGTACAACCCTAGAAAAAAAAAAAAACAAAGGAAATAAAGAAACAAAAGTAAAAACAAAACAAAGAAAACAGAAAAACAAATAAGAAAAATGCTTTTGTTTTATTACTTTGATCATGGTGCGCTTATGTTTGAGGATTGCACTCCAACCAATCCATCGTAACTTTAATGCTAGTTCGGCCCCAATTACCGTGAGGGCGACCAATTCTAGGGTACCATGGATTCCGACTGGTAACTAGAAAACAATAGAACATCAACAATTTTTGTTGCATTATTGTTTTTTATTTATTTCAACCCATTTTTTTACGCCATTGTTTATTTACCTTTAAATGATCGGTGGTGGGCTCTTCAAAAAGGGCCAAAAGTAGTAAAATTAAAGAGAAAAAGAGATCAAAACCATAATACCATGAGTTGTGGACTAATAAATAGGCTGGCAAGTCACTGGGGTGACTTGGATGGGAGTCGAATTTTTCGTTGTTTCTACCCTCCTAAGATTAATAAAAAAAAAATATGAAGTGAAAATTGTAAAATTTGAAATTCATTAAACTTACTTCTAAATATATCGCAGCTTCATGGTAGTTCATTTCCCAGTGGTCTTCCCCCAAACTTCTCTCATATGGGTCCTGTCTGTTAAGACTGGAACAGCTCCCCATTTCTTCCATTTCGGGGTCTTTTAAAAAAATTATACATATCAAATTGCGGTTAATTAATTAATTCATTTATTTATAACTACTTACCGTTTTTTAAACTTGATTTGACGATAAAACTTTATAAAAAACAGATTAAATTACCTTTTTTGTTATCTTAGGTCTATTTCTTTATACATTATGATTAAAATAGATTCTTGTTAACTATTTTGACGCATCTCGTTACTTATCTTTGTGGTTTATCTCCTTATCTTTATTTGAATTAAAAAATAAACTACAAATGTGCATATTTGTTTTTGGAAATTATTTAGTCACCTTTATAAGAGGTCAATTGATATGTATTAAGCAAATAATAATTAAAAAACAGAATGAGCTACGTAAAACAAACGTCCAATAAATGAAAAAAGAATGCGCTCATTTGTTTCATACAAAACAAATGTCCATTTTAAAAACAAAAGGAAAAAGGTAAAAATACAAAACTGGCGCGTCTATTCAAAATATTCTTTTGTTCGACTTGCGTAGCTGTGCTGACGACAACTTTCGATTTTATGAAGTGCTTAATCACCAGATAAGAGAGGATGGGACAGGAAAAAATCTGGCGAATTAATAAAAGTGCGATAGCTCTATTTGTGTACTAAAACTTACGGTTATCACTTGATCCGTACGTAACATTACGGGTGTTATCGACAATACATTTATAGCCATCGTCATCGGGAGATGTATGTGTGCTTGCCATGTTATTCATTTATTACGTCATTTTATCAATTACGTCAGTTAGCAAGCGGTAACATCAATGAAGTCAAGGCATACCCGATTATTTACGAAAAACAACGACCTTCACGAGGCCATCAGAGGCGGCGGTTCAATAATAAAAAAAAAAATGCTACTTTTATTTGTTTATTTTGAACGAAAGTCATTTATTTACTTCATTTTATAAAAAAAAGCACACAAAATTCAATTTAATCCTGAATAGTCCTTATAAAAAAATAATTAATTGCCTCACCATGTTCAAAAGTCTTTTAAGGCTTCTTGGAGTCTTCGTCGGGCTGCAGCAACCCTTTCTTCTTGCCTTTTGATGTCCTCGTCCTGTATACTGACAGCTTGTACGAGAGGTTGCTTTGGGTCCAGGAATACTCCAGGGTTCTTATCCAGCGAACTCCTTGAAGCACACTGACCTGTCACTGGTTGTGTAGAGACGTGCAGAGCAGTCGCAACACTCTGTATAATGGTGTCTTCGTTTACGTGGGGGCCAACGGGCTTCAGTCCCTTCGGCAGTTCCATAACCTCAAACTCCGTACCGTCCAAATCGCAAGCTCTGAGACCTTCCAGTCTTTTCTCCCATATTAATTGCTTAGGTTTCTCTTGAATGCCATGTTTAAGGTCAGTTTTCACTTTGCTCTCTTGTGTTTTGTAAACTGTGACCGGCTGTTTAAAAATGGACGCTGTCTGCCGAATCGGGGGCACCAACGAGGCATCATTACGAACGGTCCTGTTATAATACACTGGCTCCACTTTACTAACAGAAAGTCCCTGTTTTTTTAATATATCTTCCCTTTGCCATCGTTTTGGCAAGGAGGCACACTCGTATTTTGTTTTCTCGATTGTAACGTTCATTATTGCTTGGTTAAGTTTTGTTTTGGCAACTGTCAAACGTCAAACTATAAATGTTTTATCGAATCGTACATCGAACGTCGAACAACAAGCTTAAGGTAACAATATTATGTTTACATATCGCGATTCTTCCCCCCTATTTTTTCATTCAATTCACTTTTTGTAAACAATACTATGACGTAGTGTCGGCCATCATTCTTTTCTAATTGTTGCTGTTGTCGGCCATCATTCTTTNATTAAATTAAAAATACGTGGAAAGAAACAAAACGGTGCATTGGATAATTTATTTTTTACAATACAAGTACCTTTTTATTTGTGAAACGCAAAAAAAGTCCCACACTTACCAAATATTTTGCTGAAAACGAAATATAAATTAAGCACTTATTTGGTAAGCCTTAGAATAATAAATCTTGAAAAGAAATAACCAGTGTTAGAAATCCACTCTTTATTGATCAAACTCTCGAGTGTAACAAATCAATACATAAAAATTAAATATTAGAACTTCATTCGGTGCGGGAATTGCGAAGACCTAAGACCGAACATAGCTGACAAGTAAGCAAACAAGACTTTCCTGTCCGGATGCTTTTTAATTGCGGCAATGATGTCTTTATCAACCACCTTTTGATCTGTCTTTCTAACATCACTTACTTTGTACGCCTAGCCACCAACAAAAAATATACTCTACATTAAACAATTAGCGCAAGCACTTTGTCATATATAGTACATAATAAAATAAATCAGTCTTTGCTTTTAATTTTACTTCATTAATAATAATTTATATCAGAGGTGTCCTAAGACGTCATCATAAAAGAATTGAACTTTTAGAAAGCTCAAATTTGAGAATTAAAGGAATCAATGATTATAAAGAGAGAATAAAGAGGACACCTTAATGTTCACGTAAATAACTACTTTCTTTTTATAATAAATCAAAGTGCAACAACTCACCTCTTTTTTAGCAGAAAAGATGTCACCTTCTTCCTTCTTGGGTCTCTTCTTCCTTTCCCTGCGGAAATAGTCATCATTAATGTTCTTAGGAAGTTTGAATCCTTTAAGGTCTATTTTAGTCTTTGTTCCAATCACATAACGTTGGTGGATTCTTCTAAGTGGGCAACCATTTATTAGATAGGGACCTAAGTTAAAAAAAAGAAATAAGCAAAATTGCACTTCGTCTACATAAAAATCTACTGTACCAGTTATTAAAAGCAACCCTGATCTCAGCTGCTTCAGCATAACTACCCTCTTACCCTTGTGGACACCAGCCAGAAGGATAAGTATTGTACCAGGCCTTAAAGACTTGCGTAGGTTACGGGTATGATTTTTAAATAACTGTTTAGATTTTGGTTTCCTAATTCTACAAATTAATCACTAGATTAGCAGTCAAAAGTGCACACAAAATTGAAACTTACTTTTCTTGGGTTGGAAAATAGTTTCTTCGTTTTTTCAAGAACACAATACGTTTTCCACCGTTCTTTTCTCCCCCAATTGGCTTTTCAACAAACAACGGTTTACTAGGTTTCTTTGTAGGCTTAACTTTTTTTCCTACGAATTTGTAAAGGGCTTTCTTATGGTACATACGGGACCTAGAAAACCTATACACGCCATTTCCTAGATTATAATTCCTTGGTCTCGATCTTTTCTTTGCCTTGTTTTTTTCCTTGGCTTCCGGCTTCTTTTGAGCAGGGGCGGCCTTCTTTGCTTCTGTTGGCGCCATCTAAAACACACACTCACTTTACAAGAGAACACTTACATTAAACACATGCATGATTTAAGGTTAGAGTTAAAATCAGTTCACAATATATCGACACAATGTTTCAGAAGTGTCCTAAGGCCTAAGAAAATCATCATTAAAGACACCGTTTATGCAAAATTACATTCGTTTGTTTTTTTTTCTTTTTATGTTTGTTCGTTGCACATTTCCAATACAGGTTAAGTTAGAATGTAGAATTGTTTATCTTTTTTTGAATACAGGCATAAAATATTGTTAAAATATTATAAAAGGATACATAAAAAGCACTTTATAACAAACTCACATTAAAATTCCTTAAATTTACGTTTAGATTGAACGGATTTAAAATATTAATCACATTTTACTTACTTCCTACGGCTAAAAGAATGCGCCGACGCTATTCTATGGTTGTTTAATGGTGGATGTGACGTTTGAGCCGAACAGGATGCTGGGAAATGTCTCCTTTTCAAATGTTTGCCCGCGATAAATTCGATTTCAAATAAAACTTCTGNAAAAAAATAATAAAACAATTACGAGCGAAGACATAAAAGTATATACTTATATAGGCGGTAATGTTCCTGAAAAAATCGTATTTATTTCAGGATCGATTTTTGCCTTTTTTTGTATCAATTAATGAATTAATGGAGAAATAACAAACAGCTCTCTGCAGTCTGTAGGGTGTTGCACATAAAAAAGTAATAACAACATTCAACACACAGCAAAAGTGAAAACCTTATTTTTACCATGTACAAAGTGTATGACATTTTGAAGATAAAAGACGGTCAAAGACTTATTATTCTTTTTTTTTCTTTGTGTGACAAAAAAGAATCGCAAATAAATGTTAACGATAAAAAGAACGTTATTAATTCGATTGTACATAATAACGTTTGCGGTAGTTTATCGTTTTATTTTATGTTCTTGATTTTCTTTTGTCGAATTAATTATTATATTTGTACATAGGTCAATATGAACACTACTTACTATATACTCTTCGTTATTTTTCTAATTTTGTTTTATGTGATAACTGTAATAGATTTCTATAAAAATTTAACACTTCACACAACATCGTACCGATAGTATTTCGTGGTAATATTGACCTAGTTAAGAAAAAAAAAATATAAAAAAAAATTAAAAATTTAATTTAGTTTCATACGAATTTCCCTCGGCATTGACAACTGTCTCTTTGGGTCCTAATTCCAACGTGGGCTCGTTCCTTGGTCCTCTCTGGCTTTTCCTGTCCATGCTCTTTTTTGATCCCCTCAAATTTTGGTCGTTACTCAGATTGGTACTTTGGGTCCTGTTGCCCATGCTGGAAGCGTGCGACGTTAAACTGCTCTGGCTATCGTGTAATTTATTAGACGACGCCCTTTTTGAGTGCTTCTCCCACGTTTGGGACGTGCTGTCCAGCGATGGGTAACCGTTTTCTGACGAGTGACTCGACTTCGAACTGGGCTTTGGTAATGTCACCCGATGGTCGGGTGTCTTAAAATAGGCACCTAAAAGAAAAAATGGTAGAAGTCCGAAAGAAAAGCAAGAAGAATGTCAGCATTCAATTCAATTGTTAAACATAAAAAAAATAACAAAATACTGTTGACTTGGGGTTTCAGTTGTCTTAAGACAACAACGAAATGAAACATTTGATAAAAAACAATATCTCTTTGAACTGCAGCTTTCTATTGTTACGGGACAAGATAGAAGCGAACATTTGATTAAAAAACAATAAAAAACTATAACACAATGTTGTCAACTGTTAAAATAAATAGGAAAGATAGAAAGACAATGAAAAAGAAAAATTAAAATACCCGTTGACGGTCCATTCTGCCTCCACATTTTGAGCCTATGTACAATCTCTCCGAAACTGGGTCTCCTTATGGCCAGTTCTGCCCAGCATTCGACCATGAGGGCGTAACAATAGCTTGGGCACACTTCCGGACATGGGAGCAATTTCCTCGACCGAATCATATTAATCACTTCCTGATTATTATAACCATAATAGGGCTGTACACAAGAAAAAAGAAAAAAATTACTATACCTACCATTATTTTTCAAAAATTATTTTCGTTACAAACCTGCAGACCATAACTATATATTTCCCACAGAACCACCCCGTACGACCATACGTCACTTTCGGTGGTGAATTTTCCATACAAAATCGACTCGGGCGCCATCCATCGTACTGGCAAAAGTGATTTAGACTGAACCCTGTAGTAATCGCAACTGTACATGTCCCTGCTGAGTCCAAAGTCACTTATTTTGACCACCAGGTCTTTGGACACAAGACAATTCCTGGCTGCTAGGTCCCTATGGACGTAATGGTTGTCCGACAGGTACGCCATACCCTGGGCAATCTGGAGGGCTATGTGCAAGAACTGGTCTTGTGTCAAACTCTTCCCTTCTGGGGGAGAGTTGGCGATCAGGAATTCGTGTAAGTCACCCTCGGACATGTACTCGAACAGCATGCACATGGGTTCGTGCTTCACCACTATACCGAGGAGACAGATGATGTTTGGATGCTTCAGTTCTGCTATGAGCTCTATTTCGCGTTGGAAATCGGACTGGGTCTTGGGGGCAGCGTTTTCTTTCAATGACTTGACTGCCACCGTTATTCTACCGCCTTTTGTTTTGAGATCGCCTTTATAAACTTTGCCTGAAAACATCGTCATCGTTCGTTTGATGTTTATAGGGAAAGTAGTAATTTGGGGGCAGTTTTGAAATTCCTTTATGTCTTAAAGGGATGATTATGGAGTGTGGGCTATAAGGGGGTGTTCCTAATGGATTAATTGTGAAGACCAAAAGTCCTTCGTTCATTAGGGTAAAGGCAAAAAATTTTCCACATTGTTCTGGAGTAACCCCAAAGCGTTTTAATGTGGTGGCATCGACAGGACAACAGTTTTTAAGGCTTTAAAGGTTGCTATAGCTTTGGGATTAATTAAAGATATTTTGAAGAGAATTTTGGACAAGGATTGCCCCAAAATCTCTTTAGACATGTGAAGAATGTGAAAGATAATTTATTTTGGAGGTGTTACAGTCCCCGAAGTTCGGGCATTATCTAAAGGGACTTTGGTGGGATATGTGTCGAGGTAAATGTCTACTGGTCGATCTGAAATACGCCAAAAACGTCTTGGACTTGTGGCAAATGAAAGGGATACTATTTTTTGGAAATTTAAAAGCCCTAAGTGTACTGGACCCATTTACATGGATTTTGATTGGAATACTCGGTACTTAGTGTTTTAAAGTTTGTCTCAAAATCTCCTTAGATTTATGGGGAACAAGTACAAAGAATTTGAAAGCCCCCAAAATCTTCTTAAGACCTTTGTAGAAGATAAGACATAATATGTTTTGGAGAAGTTGCAGTTCCCAAAGATCTATAATTACCAAGGGACTTTGGTGGGATGTGTGTCGAGGTAAAGGTCTATTGGTCGATCTGGAACTTACCAAAAACGTGTTGGACTTGAAGTAAATGAAAGAGATGCTATTTTTTTGGAAATTTAGAAGTCCCCAACTGTTTTGGGATTAAAAATATTTTTCAGGAATTTTAAAATGTGCCCATTGTTCTTGGGTTTGGAACGATTTTGCCAAATTTTTTAATAAATAGGATGATGAGAGTTCTTCTAACCTTTTCCGGGGATTTTGGGGATTTAAGGCATTCTAATAAATAAATAATTGGTGACCTAGAAACAATTATAAAAAAACTGTCTTACCAAAAGCTCCTTCACCCAATTCTTCGACAAACGACAGCTCTTTGTACGTATACTGGGGAACACTTTGGAAGCTGAGCTTGGGCATCCCCTGTCCCCGAAGGGAGACGCCCGGAGGGAACGAATTTCCCCTTTGAGGTAGAAGACTGTTCATTTCCATCGGAGAATTTGGACCTGCATTCCCGTAAATGTTTTTGTCCGCGGACGGAATGTTCATGCTTTGTAAATTTGGTTTTTTCGCTTTCCTTTTTTTGTAGCAGAAAATAAAGAGGACCACCAGTACGCAAACCAGGAAGATGACAGCAGTCAGTGCTATGTAAATTCCAATTATCCTGGCGCATTTCGGTAATCCGCAAAGTTCCTTTTTGTTTTGGTCAATGTAACAGAAAGGTTCCATTTCCTTTCCATCGGGATTCCGGCAGAAACTGTGCCCAGAAAGCTCCGGATGTTCGGACAATGGGATGTGAAACTGATGGGACCATCTAATACACTTGCTGCCGGTTACACTGACTTCCTGTACTCCCCTATACAGTTCCCCGTTATCCCAAAAGCAAGTGTCGTCTTCGTTGACGCTATGAGTGCGATCTACTCCCAATCTCAAGCAGAAGAGGGAATTCCTTTCGTTCTCCTCCGGGAGATATTCGCACTCTTCCAATTCGAGAGTCTGCCTAATGACGGGATGCCTCTTCGCAATGGCGTACTCCTTGCTGCACAGTTCGTTCTCGAGGAGTTCGCAATCCTTTTTGCAAATCCTCTGCAAGGACATTGCCAGCTGGTTCCGCAAATCTTTGAACGACTGCTTGTTCTTTTCGGATAGGACTTTGTATTTGTTGATGAAACTTTCTTGGTAATTGTTGACGCTGTTTGCGTCTACGCACAGGGGAAACGCGGAAAAACATAAACTGGGCAACGCGAATTTTTCGCAACTTGACGAAATGTCACTGAAGAGAAATAGGAATTAATGGACAAAAATAGAGTAGGGGGCCGTTAAAGAAAGACATTTGGTATTGAGAGAAAAACAAAAGAAAAAATAAAGGTAGAAAACAATTGATAAAAAAAAACATTTGACTAAAAAACAAAATATTACAATTTCAACTGTCAAAAAATGAATAGAAAATTTGTTTTTGTGAAATGACATTTTAAGTTTTGGACAACTTAAAGGATTGACTTACTTTGATTGCCTGATCACTAAAAATGCATTTTCAAGTTTCTCTTCGATGTTTCTTTGAGTGTAAGGGGGTTGTATGAAAACGTACTTCCCTTCCAAGAAGTTTTTGCATGACTTTCCAACATATAATTGACAAAACGGTTCGCTGCTGTTGTAATACGTTTTTTCCGCAACCGATTTTGACGTCCCATTTTGATCGAAAAGTGCAGGGTTGCCGACCGTTTGCTCGCTAAGGGTTGGCAAAAGGGGTTTGGTTATCGCGGTTATGAGCTCATCCCTGCCCCTTCTGTCAGTGCCCGGGAAGAATGTCGTTTCTGTCATGTCGATCTCGCTAAAATGTGGGGATTATAATTGGGGCGACTGAATTAACGAAGGGGGATGGTAATACTTACCTGTTTTCCCTGATAACGCTATCATCAAAAGTGGTTTTATATGCAGGTACTTTTTCGGGGACGGGACCTAAAAATGGCCCCGGTCTTATACATTGTTTTTATCGTTTTTAACCCCCCACCCCCAGATATGAAACTCACCTATATTGTCTCTGTTTATTTCTAAGAATGCCTGAGTTCTAATTTTGTCGGCGCCATTACTGGCCACGCAATCGTAAATGCCCCTATCAAAATAGTCTAAATTTGTTATCTTTAATCTCGATATGAAAGTGTGAGCATCGGGTTTCTGAAACAATTGAAATTCTATTTCGTTTTCGAAAAACTATTTAGCTAATAATGCGATAATGTCACCTGTATGTTTTTTACAGTAATCCTAGAGTCTTCTGGCAAGTGACCAGAATTTCTGTACCACGTAAAATTAACTTTCGAATTTGTCGAATTAAGGTCAACTAATTTTACTTCGCACTTGAGCTTCAAAGTTTTACCGCTACTTCTTGTTATATTGTTCAATTCTTTTACAAATTGAATGGACCCTGTAAAAAAACAAAAGCGCAATTGTAGAAGAAAACAAATAAATACACGTAAAACAATTCATTTGTTTATTTTCTACCGTTTGAAGAAGAACTTAAACTATTTGGATCTAGATAATCATCCGTGTCACCCTCGTAATCATCGTATTCATCATATTCTGCGTCCGTGGATTTTTCAACTGTTTCGGTCCATATTGTTCCTGAAAAAAAAAAAAAATGATGCCATTGCTCACTATTGAAAACTAGATTTTTCTGATCAACTTTATTTCGTATGTTTCAGGGAACCTTTTGGGGTTCCAAGTGGAGCATGTATGTATGTCTATGATGTGTGGTGTCGTTGGAAAGGTCTAGTAATAAAGAATTTGAAAATACACTTTTAGAAATCGTAAGTGACATACCAGTCAAAAAGTATTCCCAAAAGATTGATTGCTAGTTTCTGAGAAATCTACTAGAAAAAGTGGAAAAGTTAAGCTGGTTTTAAGTTAAAGAAAATCATATTAATTCGCAAACTAGATGAATTTTTCTCTCTGCGATTGGTCTGAAGTGAGTTTTAAAATTGACTTGACTTCGCGCTGAAAATAAGTCAGATAAAATTAGATTTCAAGATATAATAAACATTTTGAGTCTCTCGGTTCAGTTCAAACAGTAATCGGTGCTATAGCAGACGAAAAAAGACATGTAAGCGGTAGAAAGTACGAAAAGTGTACAAAATCATGTTTTCCATTTCGAGTGAAGCACCCACGGACAAGTGGAATAACTTATTTATACGGTATCAAAGAATATTTTCAAGTGATAGAAGAAAGATTTGAGTGTGGATTTTGTTAACTGGGACAACTTTGAGAACCTTGAAGTCTACGAACGAAAATTACGCAAAAACTTGCTAATTAACAAACTAAGAGTGCGTCAGAATTAATGGTTTCGATTTGTTTGTGTTAAAAACGTCAAAATATTTACGGAAATCGCGAAAAATTCGAAACCTGGATTTACAAATGTTTACGTTTCTCGTAATTATCGAATTTAACAGGAAGTTAAACTACGAAAATCACGAAAACAAAGTTGCATAAGTCATAGAATATCAAAAAAAAAAAAAAAACAAAACAGCAACTTGAACCAATCGTTTCAAGAATAACAGTAGCAATTGTTTATTACAAAAAAACAAAAATAAAAAAGTAAAGTAATTTAAAGCAATTGTTTACAAAATAACAAATGAACCACGAATTAAAGCAATAATTTCTACAGAAGTAGAAATCAAAACGAGTAGAGAATGATGAACCAAAAAATATCATCCAACAAGATTAATTACGTATAAAAATGACTTCAATTTTAATAAATCATCTAGAGACAAAACAAATGTTGAAAAATATACGTAAAAAACTGTCAGTGAAAACATTTTTCCAACTGGGACAAAAAACATGTTTTTTTTTCGATCGCCTGTCATTACTTTTACTGAACTTTAAAAACATGTAATGAATACATCGTAATCACTCATTTATGTGCATCAAATAACATTCCATAGTCAATGTGCATAAAAATCATCATGAAGATCATTTACCCATTTGACTATTCTGTGTAGGCATGGGTGTTTGCTATATATTCCAATTCTAACGAAAACAAAAAATGCCTAATCGTAAAATAAACATAACTGTGTTGAGTTAATAAAAAGTGTTTTCTGCGAACATCAAAATGTCGAGTTCGGCCAACATGCTTAGAACGCGTCGAAAAGACACAAACGTAAAACCAAACAGAAGGCAAGTATTAGGCATTACATGCATGTATAAGTAACTTAATGACTGTGTTTATTTATTGTACTAATGTTAAAGCACTTGTGACGTATTGAGTGTGGTTACTATTAATAATATCCTTATGCTAAATTGGCCGAACACTTCCTTAATCCAACACGTCAATTCCTATGATCGATTCATGTCCTTAATATGAATAAAACCTAAAATATGTTTATGGGTTCTTTAAACGCTTCTTATGTCACCATGGTCCGTTATTATTATTAATTTATTTGTTGTCTTAAACTATATGTACATATATTCAGTCAAAATCATCTTTTGAGTCTGGAATGACTCGGAAATTTTTCATAAAAAAAAGAGAAAACATTATTCTTATTAATGTATTATTATCCAGGGGTCAACAATCCGTTTAGAGCAGAAAATATTTTAAGAAATTCATGTACAAATGTACCCACTACGAATCTTATAATCAGTAGGTACCAAAATAATATTCACGTTTTGCAAAATTTATTTTTACTTCAAATAAATGTGGACGTACAAAAGAAAAATACAGTTCGCTTAAAATTGTAGGTAGATGGAAACAGAACTAAAAAATTAGTAAGTAGGCTCAAGAAAATCTACCTATAAATAGACGATATAATAAAAACAAAAACCGCACGCACCTTCTTGAAACGCTTGATTGTCATCAATAGCGAGGCAGTTAGCAGTTTCTTCAATTCTTTCTTTTAAGACAATAAACAGGTGCAAAAATAGCAGTACAGAAACAAAAAAGGCACACCGTGATTCAGCAAGAGTCAAATTTCAGCCGATGTTATACAATGTACATTGTACACGTATTGTATTGTTTTAGAATAATAAAACAAAAGACAGTATTAATAGTTATTTAAAAACAACGCAATGTACTACCTCGACAAAGTTAGATTTATCATTACAAAAATGCACTATAATTTGTCGTTAATTTGCTACCAAATCCAAAAAATTGTCGCACATAGCTTATTTCGAAATGGAAATGGCGTAAACGTATTGTAGGTGCAACAATGTGTAGCTAATTTGTCGTTGAAAGGTGGTACTATTACCCATTTTATCACTCGTCTATTCTCCAGTTGTCCAGCGAAAAACGACTGGAGAGTCTCACTGTAAACGAAACAGAAGTGACGTAGACAAATGCTATAATAAGGGCTATAAGCTGTAGCTAATTTGTCGCTGAAATATGGTACCTTTATCCATTTTGTCGCTAGCCTATCTATAAACTGTTCAGTGAAAAAATAACTGAAGAGTCCCATTGTAAACTTAGCGTATCTCGAAACAGAAGTGGCGTAGACAAATGCTGTAATAAAGGCTATAAGCTGTAGCTGATTTGTCGCTGAAATATGGTAACTTTACCCATTTTGTCGCTAGTCTATTCTGAAACTGTTCAGCGAAAAACAACTAGAGTCCCACTGTAAACGAAACAGAAGTGACGTAGAGAAACACTGTAATAAGGGTAATAAACTATATCTAATTTGTCAGCGACAAATTAGCTACAGCTTATAGCCCTTATTAGAGCATTTCTTTACACCGTTTCTGTTAAAAGATACGCCATGTTGTCGTATGTCTCTGTACAACATGTGAATAAAGTAGCGACAAAACAGGTAAAACTACCATCTTTCAATGACAAATTAGCTACAGTTTATAGCTCTTATTAGAATATTTCCCTACTCCGCTTCTGTTAAAAGATACGCTATGTTTATAATGCGATTTCCCAGTCGTATGAAGCTGAACTTGTGAATACAGTAGCGACAAAACTGGTAGATGTACCATCTTTCAGCGACAAATTAGCTACACCTTATAGCCCTTATTAAAGTAATTGTTTGTGTCACTTCTGTTAAAAGATACGCAATGTTTATAGCGAGACTTCGCAGTCTTATGACGCTAAATTTGTGAATACAGAAGTGACAAAACTGGTAGAAGTACCATCTTTCAGCGACAAATTAGCTACATCTTATAGCCCTTATTAAAGTAATTGTTTGTGTCACTTCTGTTAAAAAATACGCTACGTTTATAGCGAGACTTCGCAGTCGTATGACGCTAAATATGTGAATACAGAAGTGACAAAACTGGTAGAAGTACCATCTTTCAGCGACAAATTAGCTACATCTTATAGCCCTTATTTAAAGTAATTCTTCGTGTCACTTCTGTTAAAAGATACGCTACGTTTATAGCGAGACTTCGCAGTCGTATGACGCTAAATATGTGAATACAGAAGTGACCAAACTGGTAGAAGTACCATCTTTCAGCGACAAATTAGCTACATCTTATAGCCCTTATTTAAAGTAATTCTTCGTGTCACTTCTATAGTGCGATTTCCCAGTCGTATGACGCCGAAATTGTAAAAAAAGTAGCGACAAAACAGGTAGAACTACCATCTTTCAGTGACAAATTAGCTACAGTTTATAGCTCTTATTAGAATATTTCTCTACTCCGTTTCTGTTAAAAGATACGCTATGTTTATAGCGAGACTTCGCAGTCGTATGACGCTGAACTTGTGAATACAGTAGCGACAAAACTGGTAGAAGTACCATCCTTCAGTGACAAATTAGCTACAGCTTATATCCCTTATTAGAGTATTTCTCTATGCTATTTGTGTTTAGATGGACGCTATGTTTAGAGTGCAATTATCCAGTCGTTTTCCGCTGAACAGCTGAAGACCAGATTAGCCACAAAATTGGCAAAAGAACCATCTTTCAGGGACAAATTAGCTACAGTTCTTTAGAGTATGCCATTTCTGTTAAAAGATACGTTATGTTTATAGTGCTACACTTGAATAGCTTGAGAATAGACTAGCAACAAAACTGACAAAAGCACCATATTTCAGCGACAAATTAGCTACAATTTACAGCTTTTATTATAGTATTTGTTTAATGCCATCTTGGATGTTCTCCAGTCGTTTTTCGTAGGACATATGCATAAAAGCACTGCCTTACAGCGACAAATTAGCTGTAACGTGTAGCCCTAATTATAATATTTGAGACAGGCTATGTTTTTGGATACCATTTCTAGGCATATGTAGGTTTTAAGTAGGTCAAAAAACTCTTATGAATTCAACTCCTTTACACAATTATGGCATATACTTACTAGAATACAATAGGTAATATTGTCAAACAAATAAACTTAGTGTACTTTTAGCATGCATTTACAAATGGGTTTTGTTCTGATTCCAAAGAAGTTACCTATAGTCAGCAGCACCAGATTTCAATTGTTTATTAACCATTTTTACAAAAACAAAACAGCATTTTTAAGAAGACTGTACATTGAACATTTGTATACAAAACATTTTTTTGCTGCTATGTTGATTTTGCGTTTATTTTAGATCAAATTCCTGAAATACCTCTCAAGTTCTTTCGCGTTTTTTATAAAAAATTGAATTGTTTGGTGTTATTTTAAGCGTAATTTTCAACTAATAGTAAGAAGTACTTTATAGCTTTATTATAAACAAATATTTTAGAGTTTATTTCAATCGTAAATTATTTCGTATGCTCACGAGGAGTTAAAATAAATTAATTTTAAATATACACTGGCAACGTCTAAAAATAAATAAATTTTAGAGTCAAGCCCAAAATATCTTTATTATCATTAATATTCTAATCAAATTTGATTGAATTGACTTTTGATTTTTGCGATTTATAAAATTCCAGATTGGATCGAAAATCTTCCCGCGGGATGATCTTTGAGAACGAAGAACTGAGATTAAAGACTATAAATATAAATGCAGAAGTGGAGAGAGGTACGTACAAATGTTATTTGTAAACTCCATTAAAATTTCACAGGAATAAGTAAGAAAAAAAAAAAGGAACACTTTTAATATGCTACAAAACTGTTAAAATTTGGGTCAATCTCGCAGTTAAATTATTTATAATTGACCATTAAATCTGAAATAACCCGATACTCTTATTAAATTGAAAATGTTACTAAAACACTTACTTGAATAGTTAAATAGAAACCCATTGTTAATTTTTTTTAACAGGACAAAACGACATCAAAAAATTAAAAAGGGAGAACGACCAGCTGAGAAGGGAGATTTGGTATTTAAGGGACGAATATGATAAATTGGATAAACTTCTTAGAATGAAGCAGCTTCAGTACATTTCTTCGTCTTCCACCAGTTGCAGTAGCGATAGTGTAAGTCATCGAAAGATTTTAGAACAATATGATGTTTGTATAAAAAAAAAAGAAAGTCGGAAAAATAAAAGAACAAAAAAAACAATTGGGCTAATAAAACAAATGAAGAAAAGGCGATTTTTTTTAATTTACACATTAAAAAGTGTACTGCACTGTTTATTTTATTGTTGTGGATTAAAGGCTTAATAAAAATTTTGAAATGATTAGACTTGTAATGATGCAGAGCCCCGGCTACACTTAACGTAATAAAAGTATCTATAAACATTAGAAATGTGGCTATATTGAAGAAGCAATTAAATAAGTAACTAGAGAACTTGTTGAAATAAATTAAGTTGTACCCAGTGACTGATGTATCAACAGAGAAAATCGATAATTTTAGAAATTTATGGTTTTCTAAATATTTGCTGGCAAACATGTTCATTTCTTAACGTTAAATAAAAAAAGACTTCAAACCACGACTATGCAGAATTTGAAATAAAATAAAACAAAAGACGATTTTTTTTTGTTTTGGCTGAAATCGGATCCTATTAAGTACGAATGAAACAATATAAATAACTACTTGAATACATTAGTATATTATTTGGTTCACGAACTAATTTTACTTCACTATTTATAAATAAATTGTTGGACGATGTTTTTCTGTTCATTCTTTAAGTTTTCGTGAATGTGTAAAGATGTAACAACATTTTTTCCTTCGTGAATGTGTAAAGATGTAACAACATTTTTTCCTTCAGGATTCCTGCAGTTCGTGTACCGAAGAAACGGAAGAAATAGAAATGTCTCAAAACCTTGCCAATGTCCAAAAAACCTCCATGGGGAACTTCCACAAGGAGTTCGATCATTTATCGGTGGTGCCGGAAGAAAATTCAGCCGAAAACTCGGAAAGAAATTCCTCCTCTAACCGCGGATCTTCCTGTAACGACCAATGGGACAAGGACGTCATCAAACCCGATCAGAGTTATCCTTACTACGAGAACCTTTCGTCCAAAAAAGATTCTTCTAGTAACAGCTTCTTCCCACAAATTCTGCCCAATCAACATTACGAAGAAGCTTCAAACAACCAATTCCTTGGATTGGAACAGCCCAATCAAAATTTGGAAAACGACCAGCTACATCTAAACCTGTGCGTGGGCCAAAATCTGAAGAACTCTTTGCAAAGCGGCAGGGAGAACCTTTTGGACAACTCCCTTCCACAGTTGCTAAGACAGAACATGGCGGAAGATCGTCAAAAGTTTTTTGGCATTCGATACTACGAAAATTTGTCTTTCTACGATAACGAAGCGGACCATTTTTCGAATTTGGAAAACGCAAACAGGCTGCCCATATTAGAAAAATCAGGCACAGACCTTATTGCCAAAACAGATAACAAAGACTTCGTAAGCCAGAGAAGTCACAGTTCATTCAGCAACGGCGGCAATTTAGAAGAACTACTGAACGACATAGAAACCATATCCCAAGACATACTCAAAATATCAAACGTCCAAAAAAGGACAAACGAAGAGAACGAAAACGAAAACTATAACGAAACGTTAAATGTCGAACATCTTAATTTCCACGTTGCCCAAAACCATACAAACGAAAGAAAAAGCTCTCTCGATACCCAAGACAGTTCTTACAAGAGCCAGTTGAATCTCATCGTCATGCCAACCCCGATGCCTCTCATAGGGGTCGAAAAATACAAACAACTGCAAAGGAGTTGTGAAAGTTTGGGATCGCAGACTTTGGACAACCTTTCAGCGTCAAAATCGAACCTGAAAATCCTGGATGAAACCTTAGATCACCCCGCCATTCTAAATCAAGAACTAAAGTGCAGTGAAAATGTCCAGCCTTTTGTGCCAGTGCCCCCATTGTGCCCAGGAACTTCTGCCCAAGAAATACGAAGTCCAAATATCAATCAGATGTCTAGGCCAAGGCGCCCTGATACCCCACCCAAATTTAGCACGTTTAAAGGAGGTTTTTCTCCACTCCTTACAACCCCGGAAATAACTAGTGGGCTATCTCAAAACGGGCCTGACTTGTCTTCTCAGTTAGATATCAAAAAATCTCCATTTTACTTCGGAAATTACGAAAATCAAGCATTTAGTTTGGAAAATATCCAAGAAGACCTTCATTCCATCAACATTTGCTCCAACACAACAGAGCAGATTGTACCATCTGGGTTAGGATCCTTGCTCACCGCAGAAAATGACGAGAATCAAAAGATAGTCTCCCAAAACGCAGAAAAAGCCGAAACAGTTGCGGAAACCAAACCTGAAACAAAACCTCCCGAAGAAACCAAAACTCCAAAGCTTAGTATACGAAGAAAAGTTTCCATACACTTCAAAGGTAAAAAGGACAAAAAGAATCAAAGCCAGATCAACGTAAATACTGATTCGAAACCACCTTCTGGTGGGGAAACCAAAAAGTCCCCCTTTTTCGACATAAAATTCCAAACTGAACTCAAAAACGACAAGAAAGCAACCCCCAAGTTGGAACCAAAGACCCCAAATGTGGAACCGAAAACTCCAACAAGTGCAGACTCCAAATGTTCAACTGGAGAGAACAAGAACTCCACCTGCGACACCAAAAGTTCCAATTCCGATCCAAAAGCTTCTTCTGGCGAACAAAAGAGTTTGACACCGAATGGCGAAACAAAAGATGGCAAAACAAATGACCAAAAACAAAGGAAAAGCTCGTCGGCAAGTCCAGAACATGGCAAACATAAACATGGGAAAGGAGACTCGAAAAAATGCCACAAGAAACACAAAAAAAGTGAAAAATTGCGGCATCGTAAGGGTTCCCTGACAACGGACAGGATTCTAAGGGAGAGAAGCTTCTCAGTCTGCACTGATAGGTCCCTTGACCACAGATTAGGACTTGGTTATGGCTTTGGGTTATATGACGATTTAAGTGACAACAGGAGCAGTGATAGCAGTTGTGACTCGAACATGAGCAAAAGCAGAAAGATTTCGGTTATTTCAAACGTACCATCTTCAGGGAAAATCCCTTGGTGTGGATGTTGGGGTAATGGCTGTTTATGACGATAGACTCACATACATGTTAAAATTTATGTGTGTAATAATAATTTTTTTATAAAACTTAAAAATATGTGCAGTATTACATTAAATGCATCAAAAATTAATTTAAACAGTGTAATTTATACCAATAATATTAAAATACGCAGCTAGGTACATAGGTAAATAAATTTTTCCAAAAAAATATCTTTGGGTGTTTTGTTTTCATTATAATAATGAATAAATTAAAATAAAACTTCGCCAAAATATAATTGCAAATAGAAAACAATTGAGGACAAACATTGACGTTCCTGGGAGTATCCACCAATAGGTAATCAACGTAGAATTTTAATTAAAATAATCAACGTTCATATTTATTTTATATTATGCACCATTGTACTTTACGTATATTGTATGCTAATTAATAAATTGCTAACGTGCAAAACAAACACAACGTTTAGAACTACAACGCTGTGTTTTGATGAAACAAACTTAATGGTCTTGGCTCATTTGTAATTATAGCGTATTAATTATGAATTATAATTATATTAAAACAAACAAAACACTGTGGAACATCTGTCAATTGTTTTTAAATGAATGCTGGTAGTGTTAATTAGAAGTTAGTAAATTATGCACAGGATATTGGGACAATAATAAAAAGATGCATTACAGCACGAAAGTAGGACATATTCGATTGAAATTAATTAGAACTTACCATTAATGAAGAGGGAGAAAAGTAGTCCAAGTGTCCAAATGTTCAATGAAAGGGGACACATCTTATTTCTAATTTCTAAATTTAGCTTACGAACTATTCAGTCTTGATTTAATTTCGATAAAAAAACTAAAAAACCATCACTAAAAAACGGATCGTATTCTACATTATTTCGAAACTTGGACGCGAAAATTAATCACTCGGTTTGCTCTTGTTTCTCGTAAAAAATTATGGGAGATCAAGCAACTGTTATCAGTGGAACATAATGACCCTTTATTTCCGAATAGTTGTTTCATAAACATTTGTTTTTTATGTCTTTTTTTATGAATAAAACGTCACTACACCTCCTTCCACTAATAATTATCAACTACTATTAATTTTTAGGTTAGAAAACATAACCGAGTAGTGGCTACATAACAGCCTAGGGAAAGCTATTGGGTGTGGCTTCATATTTTTACAAAAAACATGAAGAAATCCAAAATGTTTGAATTAATACTAGAATAGTATAAAAAGTTAGTGTTGGTTAATGAAAAATAAGTAGAAAATAATTTTAATTGATGTATCATCACAAACTTTAACTATAAGCCCTAGAAATAGAGTTTGAGGAAATATTCATTAATAGACACAAAGGAGGAGGGTTTTAATCTGTAAAGGAGTGAAATAGGGGACCAAAGTTTCTGTGACACATAAGGAGATAAGTTTGATACCGCAAGTGCTTCTGGGTATATCAAAATGGAGTTTGAACGCCATATTGTACCCAACATACAGACGAATAGGTCTTTGTTTTGAAATATTTTGCAATTATAAATCGTTTATTGGGGTCTAGAATGCTTTTTAAAAAGGCATTTCTACCAAGAAAGACAAAAATCAAAAAAACATTCCAATAATAAACAAATTAATAAAATATAGTTAGGAATTTTAATCGACAATACTATACACAATAACAACAAAGAATATAAATATAATTTCCAAAAAACGGCAACCAATCAATTAATTATAAATTAATAAAATCCTACAAACGGACAGCACGTTTACAAACAAGAGAAAAAAACGACTCATAAAATTAATTGAGGCTACAGTTATCGTTTATTTGTGATATTTTCGCTAATAAAATGAATGCTTTATTAATTCTTATATTTTTTACACATTTCTAGCACATTAGGTGATGACAGTTGGCTCCTCTCTGCCTGTAAATTCTTTCAGTTTCGAAATTTGCAAGCCAATATTAACTAAGGGCTTTAGCATAGCCTAAAATCATCAAAAAAATAACTAAGCATCAATTAAATACGGAAAAACATTTCGAATTTTACCTGCGCATCCGCAGTGACATTTTCTTTTTCATAACTGTCGATGTAAACTCTTATGGTGGCTCCACTACTTCCGGTTCCTGAAAGCCGGAAGATCAAACGGGAACCGTCTTCAAATAATATTCTTACACCCTGTAATTAATTGTTTTTAATATACAAATAAAAAATACACATCACAATTAAATCTGACCTGGTTCATTGCTTCGCTATTGTCTATGGGGTCGGTGTACGAGAAGTTGTCCATTTTTTTGATTTTATATTGCTTACCACTGTCGCTGAACGATTTGCCAACAATTTCCCCGGTTTTTATGAGACCTTCCAAATGCTGCATCATATCACTGGCCGCATCGCTTTCGCACTCTTCATAATCGTACCTACGAGAAAGATACAATCAGTACATCTTATCAAAAACCCATCAAAATGCGAATTTAATTAACCTAGTGAAGTAATTCCTTCCGTACAGCTGCCAGTGCTCCTTAAGGATATCTTCCACTCCTTTTCTCTTGTATTCAATGACTGATAACCACGCCAGAACTGCCCAAATACCGTCTTTCTCACGAATATGATCAGAGCCAGTCCTGAAAATCAAAAAAGGTGACGATAACGTTTCCTTTTCACCTTTAGAGGTCATTAAAATGTCACGCTACCACACGAGGGGGTAAGGTGGAGGATCCTGCTGCAGCGTTACGAAATGTGACACCTGAGGGGAAGGATCTTGGGGTACGTGACGTGACAAGGGGGGAAGGAGGTATACGACCTGCGTAACAAAACATGACAAGTCAATAAGGGGAGCAAATTACCCTTAATTTGTACGGAACCCCAAAAAGAAAGAAGGACACTATTTTTTCGTACCCGAAACTTTCTTCGCCACACAGAGACAGTCTGCCTGCGTCCATGAGGTTCCCAAAATATTTCCATCCCGTGGGAACTTCGAACATTTCCTTGTTCAGTTTTTGAGCGACCCTGTCGACTGCAGCGGCCGTGGGCATGGACCTGGCGAACCCATGCACCCCGTTCTTTTTAAAATAGGGAATGCATTCCAAATTGTTCGCCAAAACGGCTAAGCTGTCGCTGGGAGTCACGAAAAATGCCCGTTTACCAATTATCATGTTACGGTCCTGCCAAATGAACACAGAGGGAGATTAAGGAACAATATGTTAATTATTGTGTAATATTTACCCCATCTCCGTCGAAAGCTGCCCCAAAATCGAAACTTTCGTTGTTTTTTACGGAATCTACGAGGTCTTTTGCATAGGTGAGGTTGGGATCAGGGTGGATTTCCCCGAAATTGTCCAGGGGGATGTAGCGCACAGCACTATCTTGTCCCGAATTTAATTCATCCAGAAATATTCTTTTTACATAAACACCAGTAACTGTAAAACATCAAAAAGTTAAATCACTAATTTTAGATCGACTTTTTTATCGTCCTTTACCCCCGTTCATGGAGTCAATGAGGACATTGAAGGGTGGTTGTCCATCTGTGCCTCGTATTAAAGTTTTCAACTTGGGAAAGTCGAAAATAGACTTCATAAGTTCTACATAATTATCGGTGGGGTCGATCACTTCAACGGTAAATTCCTTCCCGTCAACCTATTCGAAGTAAGGGTTGAAATAATTAATGTTTTTCTTATCTTTGATTAATTATTATACCTGAAAACTGTGGGTGCCAATTTCCTGAAATTCGCAATCCAGATCATGTACAATTTTGTATTGTTTTATTGTCGTTGTAAGATCATAAATTCTGTGAGAAAGATGGTCGGGGGCTGGGCCCCCATTTTCAATGTTGTATTTTATACCAAAATCATTCCTTATACCGCCAGGATTGTGGGAAGCAGTTAAAACGATCCCCCCTTTAAAATACACATGTATATAATTTTTTAGTAATACATAATTAGTATCTAATTAAGAATTGAGAAATTATTTTTACCCAATACTTTGTAAGTCCTTATCAGACTCGAAACAGCGGGGGTTGATAGGAGACCTCTCTGACCAATAATGAGTTTGCTTACCTGTAAATATTATTAATTTGATTAAAATTGAAATGTTATTCAAAACTTCAAAACAATATGGGCTATGAAATGGCCCATGAGATTCTAAATTACCTCTAATGAGAAAAAATAACAATGACTCGATTTAAAAATATGATTTTAAAAAACACATTAGGAGTAATTTACAATAAAGTATTAGTAATATATTGCGTAGTTTTATAAGAAAAATTAAAAATACAAAAGGTTATCTATTTATTCTGATAATGAGGTTACAAGTAGTTAGTATTTATCGGCGTTAATTCTTTTTTAATCCACTTTATGCGGTACAAACATGAAATTTCTATTAACAAACATTTCGTTCAATCAAACATGTATTCATAACTAATTTATTTACAACTTGAGATAAAGCAATTTAGATAAAGTCGGTGTTCTATTTTGCTTATAAGATTACGTACGTTTCGTAAACTGAAATAATTTCATTTAAATAATTTAAAAAAGTCAAATTTTAATTAATTATTAAACTATTTGAATAAAAAGTATAAAGTTGGGCTGATTTTAGTGGTTTAAGTTAGGCCACACATTATACACTCAAGAGTAGCGCGAAATTTAAAAAACTTACCCCATTAGCTGCGGCGATTTTGATGGTGAGTCTTATGCATTTCGTGGTGTAATATCGTCCATCACCACCGAGAACGAGGGTAGAGCCCTGAAGTTTCTCCCCTTGCGCATCTAATAAACACTGAATGAAATTCTCTGTGTAATTAGGTTCCATAAAAACTTTAACTTTTTTTCTAAGCCCACTAGTCCCTGGCTTTTGCCCTTCGATAGGGGTTGTAGGAACAACCACGGAAGTAAGGCTCATGTTTAATAATATAAATAAATCTGAAACTACAAAACAATTTACAGTCAGACACTTGCACAATGTAATTAGAGGATTGCTACATGCAAACACCCTGTACAATACAACTTACCTGAAAAACAATTTCTTTATTTAATTATAAGTATATTTACTACCTGTTTTATGAATTAATTTTATGTAGGTAGATATAAACAAAAATTTGAGTAAAATTTGTAAGGTTAGATCACACACACACTACCGTTATTAATGGTTGTAACTTATTGCTGGCAGAAACGCTAACATAAACCGAACTAGGCGACTTTTTTCAAAACAATAAAATCTTATCCATGCAGTAAAATTGCAATAACAATTGACTGCAATTACTTTCAACTAGATTCCCTTACTTTCAGCTTAAACTCTGTTCAATGACAAATAGGACATTGACACGCGCATGCGGTTATTATTTTATATCGTAATTAACCTTTACCGCTTTTTATTTAAACACTTTTATTGAATGCCAATCTATTTCTTAATAAAAAGCAATTAACTTTCATGAGGCATGTAATACCTGCTAAAATAACTACGATTACTATAAAAGCATATCTACTGCAATATCTGGCAATTCAAACCAATTAAAGTCATTAAAATGCCTGAATCATGTTATTTTACAGGTTTTCGTGATAACAAATGGATGAAAATTTTCTCTACATAACAATTAGGGCTTCTAATTACTAATTATTGCAAATAACTTTCTGTATAAGGCAAGAATTACGACTTATGCTATCAGCAAACAAATTAGGTGTAGATTGGGTTGCATAAGAAGTGTGTCTATACAGGCAATAACATGTAAAAAGATTTTTTTTATTTAATTTAAAATTGTATATTGCTTTTTATAATTGAAAATAAATTTAAATAACAAGAACTTTGATATTTAATTTTGCTGTACATGTAGGAAGTCATTTTATTTATTTATAATTACATACAATTTTCATAAAACCTTAAGGAATTGTTATTTATGTCCAAAAGAATAATTAAATATTTTTTTAACAAACAAAGTGTGATATTTTTATTATATTAATAAATATGACCAATTTGATACTTCAACTGTTTACCACTTTTGCGAATTTGTTCAAATGCATGACAAATCTCTTTGATTAATAATTAGACGATGTAAATGTACTGTAGAATTGTATTTTAATGCATCAAACATGTGTTTCACCACATGTTAGATTTTTATTTCAAAACGCTTCGACTGCTTCGTTTTTACATCATCTAGTGGTATCCTTTTCCACATCAGTGTGATTCCCATTTGGTAACATTTTTATAACACAAAACTAATTAGAATAGAGAAGCATTTTGAATAAACGACTGCCACCTATCTCATATTACAAAATTTCAGTGGTTTAAAAGCTAAAGATAATTCGTAGAATCAGAATTAATCAAAAATTGAACTTAATAGGAATGTAATTAAATGGTTAAAAGGTGCAAAAGAAACGTAAATTTTGTGTTTCTTGTTTTGTGCATAATTTTATTTTAGGTAAGTTTAGATTTATATTTTAAGAATATCCATTTTTTTTAACTAAATTTATCTTTCTAATTATTGTTATCCCATTTTCATATTAACTAATGTACGTATGCATGAACAAAGAGTACTAATTTAGTAAGTTTTGATAAGTGACTATTATGTAAAAAAGTGCATAAAATCTCATGGTACCAGCGGTTTTTAAGTGCGATGCCAAATAGGTAATTTCCGGCGTAATCTTTTTAAAATACATCAAATAATTTAAACATAAAAAAGCGCACCTAAAATTATTGAGAGATGAAGGTAATTTAATAAGTTTTGATTAGTGATTATTATGTAAAAAAGTACGTAGAATCTCATGGTACCAACGGTTTTTAAGTGCGATATCAAATAGGTACATTCCGGCATAATTTCTCTAAAATATATTAAATAATTTAAACATAAAATAGCGCACCTGAAAGTATTGAGAGATGGAATTTATTTACTAAGCTTTAATTAGTGATTATTATGTAAAAAAAATACGTAGAATCTCATGGTAGCAACGGTTTTTAAGTACGATGCCAAATTTTACCATGTTAGATTAAAGGGTTTTCTATTTTCAATAGTCATTTGTTAATTTGTCTTAGTTTAACATTTTGATCTAATATATATTTAATGATTGAGCAAATAAATGTTTGTATTTTAAAATTGTCTGGTAGTTTTATTTGTTTCACAAACCAAAGGCGTTAAGTAATATTGGCGTTTGGGTGGGTTGGTGAAAGTGATTGACATTTAGTTTCTGATAAGAGTGTCTGTTTCTGCGGATAATGCTATAAGAAAAACAGGATGTTGGACTGAAATTAGAGGACACAAGATTGACTGCTACTTTGAGCAAATTGTTAAGAAATTGTTAGTCTAAAATTAAATGTTGTAATTTTGTAAAAAACCAATGCCAATCAGACTTAATACTTTTTTCTAATTTTTTTGTAAAGCGCACCCACGTTTCGCCAAGGTAGTAAGTCTGCTTCAAGTCAATTTATTTATTTGTAAAACTAATTACGCCTAAGTGAGGTTTTTAATAAATTAAAAAGATTTTTGATTTTAATCGACTATGATTCTTCAGTTAATTATAAAAATAATGGAAGAAATTGAGGGTAAATGTTGTTATGCCTACCAATAATATACAATAAACATAGATTTATTAAGTTTAAATTAAAAAAAATAGAAAGAAAGCTATTTGTGTGTTAAATAATTTTTTATTAAAGGTTATTTTTATTTGA